GNGNGNGNGNGNGGAGGCGGGGGGGGGGGAGGGGGGTTGCGAGGCTGAAAGGGCGATTGCGGCACTCACGGGGCACGCAGACGGGGCAGATGAAGCGGTCGATGAGTAGGCTCTGCTCCTCTGTGATGTCCATGCACGAATAGTGGTACCACTGCTCGCACCGGTCGCAGAGGATCATGCTGTCGTTTTCATCTGCCGGGCGGAGGAATGCCGGGCGGGTCGGTGCAGGGCGGTAGGCCGACGTCAGCAGACGGGGGTCGCGCGGGGAGGCTGCGACGCGCGTCTGGCCGTGCTGGCTCACCATATGGGCGTCTACACACGCAGTAGACGCCATCTTCGTCGTCTTCATCGTGATGGCCGTCGGGCGGTATGGGGTTGGCCGAGGTGCTTGCGGCGGCATCCTTGGGCATCGTTGAGGGTTGCGAGCGGCAAAGAGAGGCAGGCCGTCACGACGCGGCTTGGCTGAGAGGGCTGGCTACGGCGATGAGGTCACGCAGAGGACGATACTTGGATGGTGTCTTGTGGAATCGATGGCAGTGGCCGTCGGTGATGGTGGGTGGCAAGGTGGGGTTGGCCGTCCAGAAGAAAGGATGATGGAGTCGAGGTCAGTGAGAAAGAGAGGCAGCGAGACGCAGCGGGAGGCGGGCAGCTCAGGGTCCAGCGTCCTGCGCAGGGATGCGTCGCTCTAAGTCGCTCGAGTTTGCGTCGGTCTCCTTTTTTCTTTTTCTTTTTTCTTTTCCATGTGAGCTGCGTCGGGTTGGGTCGTCGGCGTGGCCCGTTCGCGGCACTGCCCGCTGCTCAACCAACACCGCCTCCCGGTCGACTGGCTGGCTTGGCTGGCTTGGGCCTGGCTGGCTGCGAAGCAAACGTGCGTCCACGTCGAGCGTCGACCTGGCCAACCCAGCTTCCAGGCCACTCGTCCTCTCCCACCTCCCCCCTCCACCACCGCCCACCACCACCACCATCACCATCACCAGCGTCATCTTCTGGCCACCGTCTCTTTCTGCACCACGTCCCGTCCCTGACCTCAACGCCGCCGCCGCCGCCTTGCACCACCATGTCGCTCAGCGCGCTGCTGGACCGCGCCCAGGATGCCATCTTCGCCCTCTCATCCTGCCTCCCCTGCGGCCCCACCACGTCCAACCTCAAGCTAAACGGCCGCACCTTCTCCATCGTAAAGCTCCTCGGCGAAGGCGGCTTCTCGTTCGTCTACCTCGTCAAGGACGTCGACAGCGGCCGCATCTTTGCCCTCAAAAAGATCCGCTGCTCCTACGGCTCCTCGTCCTTCCGCGAGGCCATCAAGGAGGTCGAGGCCACAAAACGCTTCCGCTGCCAAAACGTCATCCAGGTCCTCGACAGCTGCGTCGTGCAGGACCACGCCGCAGAACGCAGCGGTCTCGGAAACATCCCCGCTGCAGAGGGCGGCGAAGAGGGCGGCAAGGTCATCTACATCTTCCTCCCCTTTTACGAGCGCGGCAACCTCCAGGACGCCATCGCCGCCCACGTCGTCCGCGGCACCCGATTCGGCGAGAGGGAGATGCTCCTCCTCTTCCAGGGTACCTGCCAGGGCGTCCGCGCCATGCACAAGTACCGCCTGCCCGACGTCGGAGCCAAGCGCAACCGCTCCGCCGGCAGCACCGCCGCGCCGTCCATGGAGCCCCCGAGGGACGTCGAGGGCCAGCAGGACCCGTTTTCCGACGACAACCACGCCGAGAGGCCGCTCATTGACGGACAAGAGGTCGAAGAGGAAGGCGCCGGCTCCTATCCGCCCAGGCCGAGTGCCGGCGGCGGCGGCGGCAGTGGGGGAAACGGCAAGGGCAAGGCCAGGGAAACGGCTCTCGATGGACAGGGCGGCGACGCCGACGACGAGGGTCAGGGCGGAGAGCCGATCCCCTACGCGCATCGCGACATCAAGCCAGGGTGAGTAGTCGTCGCCTCTCCCGAGCGCAACGCTTATCGTCTCGCATGCTCATCGTTCGCATCCTTCCTTTCTCCCACCGCAGCAACGTCATGATCTCGGACGACGGGCGCACGCCGGTGCTGATGGACTTTGGGTCGACGATCAAGGCGCGCGTGCGCATCACGTCGCGGCGCGAAGCCGTGGCGCACCAGGACTATGCGGCCGAGCGCTCCTCGATGCCCTACCGCGCGCCCGAGCTCTTCGACGTGCCCACCGACTGCACCCTGACCGAGGCCGTCGACATCTGGTCGCTCGGCTGCATGCTCTTCGCCCTCGCCTACCTCCACTCGCCGTTTGAGACGACCCAGACGATAGAGCAGGGCGGCTCCATCGCCCTCGCCGTCCTCAACGGTTCCTACAAGTTCCCGCCAGCGGCAGAGGACCCGTACTCGGACGCGACGCGCGAGATTATCCGCAGGTGCATCAAGGTCAAGCCAGACGAGCGGCCCGACATCGACGAGGTCCTCGCCCTCACGGCGACGGCGTTGCGCGGGCTAGAGTGATGACGGTGCCGCATCTGGCACCGGGACAATGTACAGACGATGCGATGCGACGCGGCGCGATGCGATGCGATTCCACAGCCACACGCCTAGACATCATACCCCTACAGGCCCGAGTCGAGCGCGAGGCCAGCTAGCCGGCCCTCCGCTCCAGCTTTGATCGGATCACCTGCATACGCTCGTCGGCCGACTTGCGCCTCGACCCCTCCTGGAGCGCCTCGACAATCGAGCGGGCCAGCTTCCAGGCGGACGCGTTCCTCTTTGCCCTAACCCTCTGCCCCGCCTCGACGCCGTCCAGGAGCTTGTCCAGCCTCGTCGTCCGCTCCACAAACGCCGCCGTGACCCGGTCGTCGCGAGCAAAGTAGAAGAGGGGCAGCAGTCTGCCCAGGTCCTCGACCTCGCCGCCGCCGCCGTCGGGGTTATAGGCCTGCATCTCGACAGGGCTGAGCTTGACGAGGTCCCACAGCGCCATGAGGACCAGGTCGCCCGTCGCGTTCGACACGTAGTCCTTGACCGCCGCCACCCGGTCGGTCTTGTGTCGCAGCGCATCGGTGACAAACTGGAGCACGGCGGAGCGCGCCTGCCCCACTGCGTCGCCGCCCGCCGGGTTGAGCAGGCTGTGTTGCACCGTCGAAATCGACGCGTAGAGGAACTGGCTCCCTTCGGACATGACGAGCACCTGCACAGCGCACACGGTTCGACCGGCCAGGCGCGGATGGGAAGGCAGGCGGCAGCGAAGAGCGACGAGAACGGGTCAGCGATCTTTCTCCACCGCCACGCCACCCGACGACCCGTGCCGCCACGCGCGCTCACCTGCATGTAGCTGGCCAGCAGCCTGGTCTGGTCGGTGAAGATGCTGTGGTCGATGGCGAGCTTGAGGTTGACGCGCACCTTGCGCAGGCGCATGAGGGTGTGCGGGTCGAGCTCGACCTTGGCCGGCCTCCTCTTGTGCCTCGCATTCAACCCCTCTCCGGGCGCCAGGGCGGGCGGCTGTACGACGACGTTGGCGCCGTCGTCGTCGTCGTCGTCGTCCGGGAGCGTGTTTACAAACTTGGACAGGGCGCCGACGAGGACGATCGAGATGCCCTCCCAGCCCTTTCCGAGTCCGATGGCGTAGCCGAGCGGCGTGTTGGACGTGCCGCCCGCCTGGGCGGCCGCCGACGACGTCTTGCCCGTGCTCCCGCCGTACGAGAGGTCGAGGAGCAGGTCGAAATTGGCATCGCGGATCGCCAGGATCGTCTCGGTGTCCTTGCGGTCGATGGCCTTGAGCAGGTCGTGCGTCTCGAAACTGCGCGGTGGCGGCGCCGTCGTGTTGCCGCCGCCAACCCGGTGGCGCGATGAAGAGGCAACGGTGCCGTCTCGATCCTTGCTCGACCCCTCATCGCCTTCTCCCGCCGCACCCGCGTGCTGCCCGGGACGTTGTCCGTCTATTCCTCCGTCGGCGGGGCGAACCTGCAACCTGGAGAGCAGCAGCGCAATGGCGTGGTAGCCCTGATTCGTCTCGGACCGCTCGTTGGCGAGCAACTTGGGGTCGAGCGAGAAGTTGACTGGGGGGTCCGGTGGCGTGGCCAGGAGCAGGATCGGCACACCATGCGTCAGATATCCCCTCATCCTCGCTGCCGTCTCGCCGCGGTCACGGAACGGATGGGCACTCACGTTTCATATCCTCGATGGCGGCGCGGACATTGTTGCGGACGCCTTCGAACTGCGGCGCGGGGAAGAGGGCATCGAGGTGCTCGTCGTCGATGTGCGGGAACTCGTCGCTTCCGAAGGCATCGAGCGGTATGGCCCTGTCGATGTCGAGGTGGAGCGGTCCCAGACTCGGTCTCGCCTTCTGCTGCTGCTGGGGCTGTGGGGACTGGGAGGCTGGACCGCGGAAGCTGAGTACACGCTCGACGGCGTGCACTGCATTCGCGAATCGACGCGGTGGCGCTGCACCTCCCTCTGTGCCGCCGCTTGCGCTGGATGGTGCTGCGCTTGCGTTGGATGGTGGACTGGACATGGCGACGATGGCGATAATGGTGGCGATGGTTGGTTGTCGAGAGTCGAGTTGAGGGAGCGAGGGGGGAGATGCAGGCCGACCCTGCCTGGCCCTGGCCTGGCCTGGCATGTGGAGGTTGGCTTCAACGCCTTGAGGCTGCACAGCCTTGGCGCACAGGGCACCCTGCATCAGTCCTGTCGGAGCGCGCGACCGTCTGGGAAAGATGGCAGCTGTTGCAGCGGGGCTGCTGCAGATGAGGGAGCTCTGGCTTCATCAGGTGGGAATCTCATCTGCACCTGCTGAAGCAGTCAAGAAGAGAGGGTGACCCACAACAGCCTGTGTGCAGGAGAGGGCCAGGAAGTGGGTGCGGACAACAGCCTGGCTCTGCCACACTATCCATCACGCAGATGATGACAGCTGCGCTCAGGATCCTCAAAGACCTTTGTTCTGGGCTGCTTCTTTCCTTTGCTGCTCTGTCAACAATCATGATGCAGGCTGCAATTGGTGCAAAGGTTGTTGCTGCTGCTGCTGCTGCTGTTGCAGAGGTGAATGGAAACTGTTCAGGTTGCAATTGAATGCAATCAGATCATTTCTCAATGGAGCAGTATGGTGCCTTCTGCTGAGGTGGCACACCTGCTGCAACTCTGGGACTCTGGGTCAGAGCAGTCTTATTGCTAGGATGTGCAGCCTTGTTTGCAGTGATTGATGCCGCCAGGCTGCAAGCTGCAAAGCCCTCAAGCTTTTGCTGCTTGTAGAGGGAGTAGGCCTTGAGCTCTGAGGTCCTCATCTGCACAGAGCTTGAGCAAGTTGAACATTGCCATGCCCTCTGTGTAGTGCTTGTTGAGGGCGTCTTTGGACAGCCCATGCCCAAGAAGCATCCTGGTCGTGTCGTCGCCAAACAGCCACTTGAGTTGCTGGGCAAAGTCGTGGCAGAGCCGGTGGAAGGAGCCGTATGGCAGGCCCACAGCTTGCGTGTGCACCTGCAGCGCCGTACAAGCGGTGACCAAGCTGTGTTCTACCGTGTCTCCTTCTCAGGTCTTGTGTGCGGGGCCCACCTGTCAAGCTGTTGTACTTGTATTGGCACTGCAGGTTTGCCTGACTCCCCATCTCTTGATGCAGACATCTGCTGACATGCCTGCTCACAAGGCTATCTGTCCATGCAGCTTTGCTAGCATAGCTACAAGCAGGCCTTGGCATCCTTGCTGGCATCTTGCATGTCCTGTTGTCAAGGTCAAGAAGGCATGGCTATGATGGTGCACCTCAGACAAACAAACAGACATGTTGAGATGTGATGCTCCTTGCCATGGCTGTCTGCTGCAAAAAGGCATGTACAGCCAGCTTGGATTTGGTATGGCTGAAGCAGAGGGCCTGTTGTCTTCAGGTCAGGATAGGCGAAGACTCAAGCTGCTGCAGTTTTTTTCCAAGGCATGTTGCACTGACGGCAAGCCCACCTTGACTTGCTTGTGTCGTGTCCCCGCTTGAAGATGCACGGGCAACCGGTCAATTTCCTTTTTTTGAGGACGGTGCTGGGCCCTGCGCTGCATGCTTCTGCAGACAAGCCTGGCGGGCAGACCATGCGGTGCGTGCAGAGGCCCCCGCGGATTTCAGACTTCAAGTTCCTTTCCCCCCGCCGGCAGTTGGTGATCTTTTTGCGGAGAAGCGGAGGTTTTTGCTGGCGCTTTGTTCGTCGCTCGCCGGCCTGCTCGCTGGTACGACCCCAACGCACGCGGCAGCCATGACACCCCCTTCACTCCTCGTACTCGATTCAACGATGGTACGACACTCGCCCGTGACTCGAGTTCACAGCCTCCACGACGACGAGAGCAAGCCGACCCTTGCTCCTTGCGCTTCGTGCTGTCGTGTGCCTAGACTAGTTTAGGCCGCCACGACGAGCAGGCTGGGCCGACGATCAAGACACACGACTCGGAACGCCATGGTCCGACGTCGTCGGCAGGCAGGGAGGTCGCGGGTCGGTCCCTAGCCGAGATCCAGGGGCTTGATGGTGTGGCAAGGCGACGGACGATGCTCCGAACACCCTCGCCATCCGTTCATCTGATGCTTTGACCGTGGAGCTGAGCGGACCGGCAACGTCGAGTAGCCGGCAGCGGGAGATGGGAAGAATATCCGCGCGACTGAGCGTCGTCGTCGTCGAGCGCAGCCTTGTGCGCACCTCGATGCTTCGACTTCTGGCTACATACCGTCACCGCCTGCACGGCACGACGAGTTCGCCCGCACTACTCGTGGTGAAGCGTAGCCGTACTCGCATCCGAAGCCGCAGCCGTAGCCGATGCCTGCACCTGCGCAGCGCCATAGTTCGTCCGACGCCCCGTCGAGACCGTCAAGAACATCCCGCGAATCGCCATCGAAGCGGGACCATGCGACGGGCCGTGGCGCTCATCGACATGCCAGACCTTGACACCGCTGCACAGTCGTCTCGTGGTGGTGAGCGTGGCCGCGCCAGCCTTGCCGCGCTTCAACTCTCACCCCGCCTCGCCTCGATGCTCCCTTCTTGAGCCTTGCGCCCATGGCATACCATGGCATGGCACGGCACGGCAATAGGCGAGAGCGGGCCAAGACGAGGCCTACAGTACAGTACCGTACCCCACCTTGATCCGCCCTCGGCGTGGCGGGCCAGCTCGCATTAGGTGATACCGGGTTGTGCTGTACGCGAAGCCGCAACGATGCATCTTTCGGTCGCTCTACCGAAGCCCTCTCCTGCGCCGCTGCGCGGCTGCCTGCCGGTCGGATACTCCCGACCGCTGTCTTCGCGCGAAACCGCGCGCCCGCACGTCCGGACCAGCCGTCGGAGCGTGCCGTCGAGACATGACCATGATCGCAGACGGAGCAAGGCCAACAATAGGAGGACGATGGCGCGGTCGATGTCCTTCGAGGAGGAGCAGACGAGTGGGTGCGAAGGAAAGAGGGGCACCGCGCGTAGATTAATTGACCGGTCCAGTCGCCAAGGCCTGCTACCGCACCGCTAGGCCAGGACGAGAAGCATGCTGGTCAACGAGGGCGGAACGAGGCCAGCCAGGGAGGGATCCTCGGCAGTATCTGGCCGGCAGCGTGGAGCGGTAGGCCGGGGCAGCGCAGCATGCATGCTTTGTCGTCGTCGACGAGGGATGGGCGTGAAGAGCATCACGGTCGACGTCCATGCGATATGCCTTTGCCAAGAGAACGAGCGGGGCGGGCCGTCTCCGAGCACACCGTCGCCACCTCTTTCTCTCGCGCCTCACCGCACAATCGCCCGCTTGTGTTTGGCTTCGGCTACTCCGCCGCGGGCTTTTGGGATGGTTCATGCCACACGCGCAAGCAAGCGTCAAAGTCGTCGGGCGTTCCACAGAAGGAGAGGCAGGTCGGGCCAGGCCGACAGCAGGCAGGGCGGCAGCCAAACAGCTAGGCCTGGGGGGCCCCGGCCGTTGGCTGCAGCTGCCTGCAACCGCGCACGGCGGAAAGGCTCGCTTCGATGGCTCCGAGGTCGAGTGGGAAATCCTCCTTTCTCGAAGGAAGTCGCCTGCCTGCGAGCTTTGCCTGGCCTCCCTCTCTCCTTTTCCCCGGCCGCTCCCTACCCGACGACCGGCGACGGTGCTGCACCTGCTCGCCTCCGCGCGAAAGCCACGGTGCGTCGTCCTCGAGCGATGGCTAGGGGGTTATGTAGACTCGGAACTTCTCAAGAGGAGCGTACGTGGCCGGAGCGGGCCACGACGACGCTGCCAAGCTCGAGCGCTTAGGGGCGATGGGTACCTACACAGCACAACGCCCGCTCGGCTGATCCGCTGGCCTCGAGTCTGAACATCGTGTGCGTTGTTGTGGATGCTGCTTGCTGGACCTGCGAGAGGCCCGTCGAGGAGCGAGCCACGCATGACGGCCCCCCGCCGCCTCCTGGCACGACCCCAATTTTAGCGCGCTTTTCGGCGATTTGCCTGCCTGCCAGGCGGCCTGCCAACGGCGCGCGTCGGTGCTTTGTCTCCGCTGCTGCCGTCCCTCCTCGCCGGCTGGTCTGCCTGCTTAGCCTGTCCCTCTGCGCCCCCCCACCTGTTTGGTCGGTCTCGGAGGGGACCCGCCGCCGTACCACCTCTAACCATAACGACAGCGGGGCATCCGACGTGCGTACCGGTGCTACCGCTCCTCTCTGGTCACCGCGCTCCTCTTAGCCTGGCTATAAAGCGCACAGCCTTCGGCCATTCCGTCGAGGCATCGACCGCGCTAGCGACCCCCTTCCCTCCAGGCTCCGCTGCGACCCTCCTCTCAACGTCCGACCGTCAGCCTTTCCTTTCTCCCCTCTCCACCACCACCACCACCACCACCGCCACCCTCTTCTCGCCACCGCTGTCGCAGCAGCGCCCACAGGGACCGTCTCACCCCTTTGGCTCCTGCTCGCCCGCTCAACCTCCAACCCCGTGCTTTATCTCATCCTTTTCTCGCCCGCCCTCACCTTCGACACGCGCACACGATGAAGTGGCTCCAGCTGGTACCATGGGTTGCCGCCGCCCTCGCCGCCTCGGTCAGCGCAGATGACCAGGGCATCGGCGGCGCAGGCGGAAGCGGCCCCGGATTCGAGACCGTGCCGAGGGTCCCCTTCAACGGCAACGACTCGCTCCCCTACTCGCCCCCCTTTTACCCGACTCCGCAGACCCAGGGCACCACGCAGAAGTGGAAGGACGCCATCGGCAAGGCCCGCGAGTACCTCCAGCAGTTCAACCAGACCGAAAAGGTCATGCTCACCACCGGCACCGGCTGGAGCCGCGGCCCCTGCGTAGGCAACATTGCCGCCATCCCCCGCGTCGGCTTCCCAGGCCTGTGAGTGGCCAAGCCCGCCTCGACCCCTCTTTTGATATGGGCTAGCGCGGCCGACACTGACACACTCTCGCATCGTTGCTCTCCCGTCACAATCCCCGCTCGACTGCAGCTGCCTCATGGACGGACCCGCTGGTGTCCGAGGCACCGACCGCATCACGTCGTTCCCCGACGGCGTCACCGTGGCCGCCACCTTCAGCAAGGACCTCTTCTACCGCCGCGCGCACGCCATGGGAGAAGAGTGAGTGCGCTACGCAGCTGGACGCCTCCACCTTCCTGCTCGAGACGCCCGATCCTGACACGTCTGAGCCCACCCTTTGCCCTCCCACGCCCGCGCTCGTCCACCAGGTTCAAGACCAAGGGTGCCAACATCTGGCTCGGCCCTATGAACAACATTGCCCGCACCCCAGAGGGCGGCAGGAACTGGGAGGGCTTCGGCGCCGACCCCTACCTCAGTGGAGAGGCGGCCCACTACTCGGTCCTCGGTATGCAGGATGCAGGCGTCCAGGCCAATATCAAGCACTACATCGGCAACGAGCAGGTGAGTCGCCGCCGGTCCCTGGGGGCCCCACCTCCACCTAGCGTCTCGGCACGCGTGCTGACATTCTTCGCCGCCACCCGCCGCCGCCGTCACCACCATCTCGCAGGAGCACTTCCGTAACGAAGGCAGCACCAACATCGATGGCCGCACCGAGAGGGAGATCTACCTCCATCCCTTCCTGCGTGGCGTACAGGCTGGCGCCAGTTCAGCAATGTGCTCTTATAACCTCCTTCAAAATAGCTGGGCTTGTCAAAACTCGGAGATGCTCAACAACCGCCTCAAGACGGAGCTCGGATTTTCGGGATACGTGCTGTCAGATTGGGGCGCGCAGCACGCGGGTGTTGCGTCGGCCAATGCGGGCCTCGATATGACGATGCCCGGAGATGTGACGTGCTGCACCAAGCAGACGGGCTCGCTTTGGGGCGGCAATTTGACGACGGCCATCAACAACGGCTCGGTCGCCGAGACGCGCCTCGACGATATGGCCACGCGCATCCTCGCCGGCTGGTACTACGTCGGACAGGACAAGGGCTACCCCAAGCCCAACTTTGACTTCTTCAACCAGCGCGACCCCACCGTCAACGGCTTTGTCGACGCGACAAAGGACCACTGGAAGGTGGCGCGCGAGGTGGCCGCGGCGGGCACCGTGGTGCTCAAGAACAAGCGACACGCGCTGCCCCTCTGCAAGCCCGACCGCCTTGCCATTATCGGCAGCGACGCCGGCCCGCTGTACCAGGGTGCCAACTACTGGTCCGACCGAGGCGGCTGGCCCTACGGCACCCTCGGCCAGGGCTGGGGCTCGGGCGCCAACGAGTACTCGTACTTCTTCTCGCCCTATGAGGCTCTGCAGGCGCGCGCCCGCCAGGACCGCACCGACTTCCAGTGGAACTTTGACGACTACAACTACGAGCAGACCGAGAAGATTGTGACCAACGTCACCGCCGCCATCGTCTTTGTCAGCGCCCTCAGCGGCGAGGGCTACATCACCGTCGACAACAACGAGGGCGACCGCAACAACCTGACGGTGTGGAACAACGGCGAGGAGCTCATCAAGAGGGTGGCCGCCAACAACAACAACACCATCGTCGTCGTCCACTCGGTCGGCCAGGTCGACTACGAGAGCTTCGCCGACCACCCCAACGTCACCGCCATCGTCCTCGCCAACCTGCCAGGCAGCGAGAGCGGTCCCGCCCTGGCCTCGGTCCTGTACGGCGAGGTCAACCCGAGCGGCCGCCTGCCCTACACCATTGGCCGCAACCGCACCGACTATGGCACCGACGTCCTCTACTACAACGACACCGTCACCCCGCAGATCAACTATACCGAGGCGCTCCACGTCGACTACCGTCACTTTGACGCCAAGGGCATCGAGCCGCGCTGGGAGTTCGGATTCGGCCTGTCGTACACCACGTTCGACTACTCGGGCATCTGGTGGCAGCAGGTCGGCCAGGCCGACAACAGCTGGTGGGGCGACAAGACGGCCGCCGACGGCCTGCCCGAGTGGCTGTTTGAGCCCCTCTACGAGGTGAGCTTCTCGCTCACCAACACGGGCGAGCGCGACGGCCACGAGGCGTGGCAGGCGTACCTCTCGTTCCCCAAGTCGGCCGGCGAGCCGCCCAAGGTGCTGCGCGCCTTTGACCGCACCGAGCTCAAGGTGGGCGAGACCAAGGAGGTCAGCTTCAAGCTGAGCCACTACGACCTGTCCACCTGGTCCAACAAGCAGCACCGGTGGGTGCGCCCCGAGGGCAAGATCAAGGTCCTCGTCGGCGCCTCGTCGCGCGACATCCGCCAGGCCGTCGTGCTCCACTAGGCGCGCACCGCTCGCGGTGCAGCGTCCCGAGGCGTGCGAATCCTCCTCGGTCCTAGACGTCGACCTCGACGGACACAGACCGAGTGACAGTCGATTCCCCTCGCTTTTCATATCGAGTCGTCGGCGCGGCCCGCCCGTCGCCGCCTCGCTCTCCTCTTTGTCGCGGCACGCGTCGCGACGATGGACTTTGCTTTCGCATCCCTTTATCCTGCTCCATCTCCACTGTTTCTCCAGCATCGCTGCGCTATCTGCCCCATCTAGCATCCTCGTGCATTGCTGCCGCATATCCTTCTTCATTGGGGGCCCTCTGTGGCCAATCATACATGCATTGACATTCGTTCATCGCCCGTCGAGCCTGCCTGTTCGTCCGTATGTCACCTACACTGCCTGTCTGTGACATCGTGCCATCGAGTGTCGGAGCGCGCGCGGCGTCCCTGTCTGGTGCGGGCGAGAGACTGAAAAGCATCGACGAGACATGCCGCTGAGCTCGGATCTTGCAACGGCGCGTCCTCTCTCTGTGATGAAGGAGGTACATGGCGGGCGCCGTCATCTCTTCTGATCGGGAAACAGACATGGCGATACGCCTGCTTCCTGACACGATCCGGGCAGACGCGTCGTCGACATCGCTGTGTCAGCAAGGTCGAAACGTCGCCACCGTACCCGCTTTGGATGGGGAGCGTCCGGCTGTGATTCTCCCGAGCCCGACCGGCAACTCGAGGGCGCTTTGCTGGGATGGGGAAGGCCGAGTATATCCGCCTGATCCTCCGCTGCAACCCGTGAGCGGACACATACATTACCTCGCCATGCGATCCTCGCTCGGCGAAACTCGAGCTGGCCTCTGGTTTTCCCACGGCATGGCTTAACGTGGCGATTTCACCACCAGGCGAGCGTGACCTTGAGTTGTGGGGGGGGGAGTGGTGGCACAGGGTCGGCTGGTGAGACAGGCAGGTGTACTGTACTGTAGGAAGAAGGTCTTGGCACACCTTGATCGGTTGTTGCTCCCGGATGCGAGCTGCGCCGACCAACGAGGATACCCCATTGGGCCAAGGTGGCCGACACGGCGAGAGGGACCACGCGGAGGAAGCGACCCCTCCATGTCGACGAGCTACGGCAGGTGGGCACCGGTCGTCGTAGTGACCGCGGAGGAGGGGGAAAGGAAGTGACAGTGCGGGCAAAGTCATACCCGGTAGCCGGCCGACCGGGCGGTGCCCCACAAACAGCTTTGGTACGAAACGCCGCGGAAGATCTCTCCTGTCCAGTACGCCGTGGCTGACCGGCAAAGACGAGGCGAGGCGAGGCGAGGCGCAGCGAGGCGCACATACAGACAGGCAGCAGGTTGTTGCGCTTCGGTCTCCGGCGGCAGGCAGGCAGACGTCGGGAAAACGTCTTCCGAGCGCCCGTTGGCAGAGGGGCCCCGCGTCCAGGTCGGCGGCATCTGCCTGCCTAGCCTGCCTTCTTGGCCCGCCGCCGCTGCCGCTGCCCTCCTTCCCTCTCTTCCTTTGCTCCTTTTCCCCTATCCCCCGTCGGTTTCCTGACTCCGCAACACGCACGCAAGCACGCACGATGCTATGCACGGCCAGCACAGGCGTCGTGTGACTGACTGCACTTGGCTGCCGCGTACGTCTGCTTGCCAACGAATCCTCTGGTTGGGCGGCGGTCTGGCTTCGCCTCCGCTCGTACTTGCGATGCGATGCGATGCGATGCGAGCACCGCCCGCCCGCTGGCCGGCCTACGGTAGCTGAGCGCATCGACTGCTCCGCCTTCCTATCCGAATCGCGCCTGCCGTCGCTGCTGAGCTGCTCCAAATCCGTCATGCCTTGTCTTGCAAGCAAGTGCACGCTCAAAGCGGTGCGGCTCGGTCTCATTTTCGCTCAGCCCGGCCGCCGAAAGCCACACCGGTGGTGGCGCCTGTGCGGGTGTCGAATGAGAAGAAGCCGAAACGCGATGGAAAGAAGGAAGCTCGCCAGCGCTATTAGACGAGCCTCGCCAACCACGGCCGCAGCCAGCGTCCAACAATGCGCAGGCGAGCGAGAGACGGATGGGCAAGAAGGACAGGACAGGGCGGGGCAGGGCAGGGCAGGGCATATGATCAGCGCGACCCCTCGCATCTTGGCGCTCCCGCGTCTCGCATCAGAGGCCGGCTGCTTGCTTGATCGACGCCTCGACATGCGCTGATCCTTGGATCATGCCCCGCCTCTAAGGCCAAATGGCCCGTAGTGGCTGCAGCGCCGTGTGGACGGGTGTTACCGTTGCCCTGGGAATCTCGAGCGTCGTCGGTCCTCGGTCTGCTCACGACCGGTCTGCTCACGACCGAGACCAGGTTCAGCGACCACCCTTCTTGCCCCGCTCTGTTCGGGGAGCTCCATCGTCGACGGTCTCTGTGCCGCAGGGCGATCCCGCCACGACCTTCAACAAGCATATAAGCTGGAAGATCAAGGCGGACAGGGATTGTAGACTTACACAGATCAGGAACCTCCTTCAGAGCCCCCCAAGCTATCCCCTCCGCTCATCTTCAACCCCCCCTTCGCAACGATGGTCTTCTCCACGCTCCTCACCAGCCTCTTGGCCGCCTCGACGGCGGTCCAAGCTGGCGTCATCTGGCCCTCGAACGCCAACACGACGTCGATGCACACCCTCGAGCGACGCGCCTACTCGCGCCAGGTCTACGCCGCCACGCCGACCGACTTTTACAACGTCTTTGACTTCCACACCGAGCCGGACCCGTCGGGCGGCACGGTGCAGTACGTCGACCAGGGTACGGCCAGCTCGCTCGGCATGATTGGCACGGGACGCAACGGCGGCTTCCGCTTCGGCGTCGACTCGCACACCGCCAACGCCAACCCGCGCAAGTCGGTGCGGCTCCAGTCCAAGGCCGGCTACGGCTACGGCGTCTACGTCTTTGACGTCGCCCACGCCCCCGTCGGCTGCGGCACCTGGCCCGCCCTGTGGACCTACACGCGCGGGACGTGGCCCGACGGCGGCGAGATCGACATCTACGAGGGCGTCAACGGCGTCGCCCCGAACCAGGCCACACTGCACACGGGTCCCGGATGCATCAAGGCCCCCAGCGCCCTCCAGACGGGCACCAACGTCAGCCCGACCGACTGCAACGTCAAGGACGGCGCCAACGGCAATGCCGGCTGCGCCGTCTTCATGCCCAGCTCCAACTCATTCGGCGCCGGTCTCAATGCCAACGGCGGAGGTGTCTTTGCGATGCAGTACGTCGCCGAGGGCGTCTTTGTGTGGTTCTGGCCCTCGTCCTCGGCCCCGGCGGGCACCAAGCGCGGCGACAGCCGCACCATCGACGTCGCCTCGTGGGGCACGCCCACCGCCGCGTTCCCCTTCTACGACGGCTGCACCGCCAGCCACATCGACACCAACCAGCAGGTCACGATGAACATCGACTTCTGCGGCGGCTTCGTCAACAGCCGCCCTGGCTCGTCGTGCGGCATGGTGGCCAACAATGCCCAGTGCATCGCCTACGTCCAGAACAACCCGTCGGCCTTTACCGAGGCCTACTTTGACGTCAACGCCTTTGCCTTCTGGGCCTAGCGCGGCGTTGATCAGTGTGCTTCGTCGTGGTCGTGTATGTAGAAGGTGCTCCTTGTACGGTGCCTAGACGAAGGCGGAAAAGCAGATCGGACCGGAATCACAATACTGCAAGGAGGGAATCGTTTCTCGGATGCGCGAAAACAGTTTGTGGTCATTCTTTTGGTCGTCAAAGCGCTCCTCTAGCCCGTCGAGAACTGGAGAGGGGTTGGGGTGAAACATCGTGAAGAGCGGGGATACAAATGGAACGTCGACGGTGGCCGGAAAAGGTATTTCATCTCGTAACTGGATCGTGCGGGACCTGGGTGACTGGGAAAGGGGGGCTTGTGAGAGGGGGGAAGCCCAGCTGCGCAGTGTGGCTCGACGTCTCGAGCGCGTTGGGCGCGCGGTCTTCCCAGCGGGTTGGGTTGGGGGGTCTGCCGGGAGTGGAGCGAAGAGGGGCGAAAGAGGTGTCTACCTGCTGCCTCGCCATCGTCTCACCGCGCGGCGGGGTATCACCATGTCGGGGAGGACAAGGAGGAGAGGGAGGTATATCTAGAGGTAGGCCTGGGCGTAGGAGCGGATGGCGGGCTCGGTCTTGGTGGTCGGGTACGAGGCGGTGCCGAGGGCGAACTGGAAGGCGGCCTGGAGGGCGTCGGCCGTCTTGGCGAAGGTGTTGTTGTTGTAGCCGGTGCCAAAGAAGAAGTTGAAGCACGACCACTTGTCAAAGGTGGAGCCCATGGGCGTGGTGCCGGTGCGGATGGTCTCGTAGGCGAGCTCAAAGGCGGCGGGGTCGATGGTCATGCTGATGTGTCCGGCGGGGTGGAGGGCGCCGCAGATGTTGCTCTGCTGCAGCTGGACGTTGGTGGCGCCGGGGAGGTACGAGGTGCCCGAGGTGCCCGACTGGGGCACGACGACCTCGTCGTAGGCCGTCGAGAGCGAGAGGGTCTTGACCAGGGCGCTGCCGGCGGCGTTCTTGAGGACGCGGAGGTACCTCGAGTTGGAGGCCTGCTGCAGCACCGAGGGCTGGCAGCCGGTGCCCGGGGCGAGGAGGTCGTTGGCGGCGCATCCCAGGTAGGCGAGCAGCGTGCCCTTGAAGTCGCCGGCGAGCGAGACAAACTGGTGCACCTTGGGCCTGATCGAGGGCCAGAAGGAGAGGGCCCACTGGATGTTGATGTTGCCCTGCGAGTGGCCGATGATGGACACGGTGCCCGTCTTGGACTTGGGCGCGAGGATCTGGACGGCGCGCGCCACGTACTCGGACGACGTCTGGGCGTCCTGCCACGAGCGCGACGGCAGCGTCACGTAGCAGACGTCGTAGCCGGGCGAGTAGTTGGGCAGCAGCGAGACGTAGGGTCCGTTGGCCCACGTCTCCTGTCCCGTCTGGCCCGTGCCGTGGACGAGGAGGATGACACCGCCCGTGCGGCCCGCGATGCCGTTAGGGCAGGTGATGGCCGAGTTGACGGTCGACGTGGCCACCGTGAAGGCGGCGTCGGTGGTCGGGGCGCGCGCGACGAGCTCGTGGGTCGATGCGGCCAGGTCAGCCGCGGCGGCGACCGAGCGCTCGCCGATGGGCAGCGGGTTGGCCTCGACGCCTCCCTGGGTCGAGAGGGCGAGGGCGAGGGGAAGCGCGAACTTGAAGAACTTCATGGCGGGCGGGTGCGGGGAAGAGTGAGTGGAGAGGCGGGGGTGTGGGGGATCAAGAAAGACTCTGTACGGGGAGAGGAGAGAGAGGCTGGGATAGGAGAGACGAGGAGAGGGAAGGGTGTGTGAGATGATGGACCAAGAAGCTCCTTTGACCGCCTCGATGTCGCCGTCTTATATCCCCTCGAGGGACGGAAGAAAGGCAGCCATCGTATGTCCTGGCTCGACGAGGGACGGGATGGGTATGCAGCACGGTATGGTCTGCGTGCACGCTGCCGTGCGCCCAACAGCGACCTGGAAGAAAGGGCTCAGGGACGACGACGACTCGCTAGGCTCGGGCTCTGCGCGCAGCACCTCGTGCATCTCTTTCCGCCGACGTTACCGCCGCCGCCCGCACCCCGCGCCGCTGTGGTAGGTATTGCCGGTCGACGAATCAGGACCGGTCTCTTTGGATTGCCGGCTCCTTTCCCGGTCGACATGGATCAGGCAAAGATCAGTTGTGCGATCGGAAGATCATCAGGCTGGGCTGGGGCCGTTAAGGTTAGGTTGGGGGGGCCGAGGTGCAGTGCGATGGTGAAGACAAAGGGCGCAGCATGGTGGGACGCAGCGGCAGGCGAATAGACAGACGAGCGCAGCACAAGGGAGACAAATGGGGCCAGAAGCGCGCGGGGCGTGGTCTGCCTTGCCGTTGGCGGTGACAATGGTGTCAGGGACGGTTAGACGCAGACGCAGACGCAGACGCAGATGCAGCCAGCCCGACGATGCGGCTCGATTGTCCCACTGCGCCGGTACAGCGACGAGGTGCGTGCTGCATCGGCGAGGTGGCAGGGCGGATAGCCACGAGTCATTTTGCCCACAGTACGTACGTGCGTTCTGTGCGCAGTTACACGAGGATGGCCGTGGCGCGAGAGTGGCCACGGTGCGGATTCGGAGGGTAAACCCTGGCAGAGGGACGGCTTGGCGGGCGGGCGGGCGAGTGAGCGAGGGTGAGGGAGGAGCAGGCCAGGGGGGGGGCGGCTGGGGGGCGTCGGAAGGGCTGCATCCGAAGGAATCTCTTGCAGGCCAGGCCGGGCCGTCGAGAGCAAGGCGGCAGGGCATGTTGGATCCACGCACAGACGCGCGGGCGAGGAAGTGAGGTGTGGCCATGGATGCGGCGCTGATCCGCTGTCCCTTTGTCCCTCGCCTCTTTCGCCGACTGAGCGCGGCAAAAAGACGGCTTGGACTGTGTGTGTCGGCGTGTGTGGCAGAGAGGGTCGACGATGGCGACGGCGTGGTTCGTATTTGCTGCGCTGCGCTGCGCTGCGGTGCGCTGCGGTATGCGCGGCCGGGAAGATTCGGCATGAGGGGACCGAGAAGCGCTCGGCTTTACCCCGCACTCTGGGCATCGGCATCAAACGAGCGCGGCGGGCGGATGGCGGCGGCAAAGGGCCACCAAAGCGTGCTAGCGTGCGGGGCCCCTCGTCGGCGGGGGTGGGGGTGGGCCATCCACCAATCCGGTACCAGCAGCACTTTGCTGACGAGCTCGACGACCACGGCGAGGTGGCAGCAGCATGCATGCTACAGAGTGTACCGCGCGTACATCCCTCGCTGCGTGACAAGCCCGGGTGACACGCGCCGGCGGGCCAGGGCCACACACACCGCTGACCGACTGACCCAAGCTGGCGGATATACCCTAGCCTAGCCTAGCCTAGCTTAGCCTCTTTGCACCTCGTTGGCGCTCGCAGCCTTGGACCCACCCTGGCCGACGCCGTCAAAGGGAGGACGGCGTATCGCGCGGGCCCTTCAACCCCGCCCATTGGGCGCCTTTTCTTGACAGCTGCCCTCCGCCCTCGGTTGGGCGCCCCTTTGCTCTTTGCGACCGGCCGACCGACCGACCATGTGGCCTCCAAGGCTCCGACCGCCGCCCTTTTCTGGCCTTTGCTTGCTTGCTTCTGCTTCCTTCGTCTCTGCTTGGCGCGGCAGAGTAGTAGTGTTCCTTGCACCTCGCCAGGCCTGGCCGTCCTCTGGAAACAGCACGTACACCGCAGCGCACGTTTCTCCCTCGTCGCTCGCTCGCTTGTTCCTCGACTAGAAGCGTCCGTCGTTGCTGCTGGTTCTAGACCAACGCTCAGCCCAGCCCGCTCTACACGCGAGCCAGCGAGATGCTATCGGATCCAAGAGATGAAACCAGCGCCACCAGCCCTCCGTCTGCCACGCCCATCTACCCCGCACAGATCGGCGCATCTGGCGCCCTCCGGCACAACCCTTCGGTAGTGACCTTGCTTGGTTCACCTGCCCGCTCGCGTCTTCGCCCCGCAGCCCTTTCCGTCCAACTACCCCGAGCTGATCATCCGTGCACCTGCACGCCCCGCCCTCCTTCCGACGACGTCGATTCGCCCTCGTTCTCGATGCAGCAAGGGCGGCCTGGAAAAGTCATCCTGCCTTTGCCCTTCCCCTTCCCTCTCGCCGTGCTCCTGTCCGCTTTCGGGTCGGGACAATGGCGTGAGAACTCGATCTCGGCTTCGCACTTTGCACATCGTGCATCGCGCCTCGTGGCCAGCACCCGGGGTGCTGCGAGCGGGAGAGATACCGGTACAGCGATAGAGGGGCCTGCTGCGTCTCGAGAGCGCAGCAGCGGCCTCACCCGCCGGCGGGTCGACGCACCACGGACAACCCTCCCGCGCCCTCGCCCTCGCCCTCGCCCTCGTGCGCCATCTGGGTCAGGCTAGACGATGCACTCTAGCCTTTACCCCGCACTCCGTCTCGCCCTCGTCCCTGAGCAAAGCCAGCAGCCTTGGCGGTTGCTCGCCCCGCCCCGCCTCGCCTCGCCTCGCCTTACCCCGCACTCCAGGGTCCAGAGCGCCGTCCAGTCGAGCATAGCATCATCCTGAACCCAGGCCAGGCCTATCTACCCGAGCTGCGATGGTCAAGATGCGTTCCTGCGCGGCCCCCATCGACGCACGCCCCGCCCCGCCTGTGCCCCCCTCGTTGCTCGGTACCCTGCCTGCTATCTCGCGTAGATGTCTTTGCTGCCCCCGCCCCAGCCCCAGTCGAACCGGTCTGTTCCGATCGATGACGACGTCTAGCCTGTCACGCCCCCGCCATCGCTGCGATACGGTATCAAGGTCAGTAGCTGGGCGACGCCGTCAGGAACACGCATGCATCCCCGGCGCTCGCGAGACTCGCAACCAGCAAAGAGATACCGTAGCCATACCCGGTCCAGGTCAGGTCAGGTCAGCTGATGCCGGCGATCCGTTACATGCCGCTCGTTCGGGTTGTCGAGCATGCTTGCGACCCTACTTCCGCTCCGCTACTCTGGCACTCCTCTCTTTCATGCGACCGTGCTTCCGCTACCGGCTCTCGTACTTCCACCATCGATGCATCTCGACTCGCCTGCCCAAGGTATCCGGCAAGGACCGGCAAGTCAAAGAGCCGGTCAGCGACAGTCCGAGGAGCGACTCCAAGGATCGGTAGGTCGATGACAACGTACGGAGCGCCTCGCACCGTCACCGAGCTTGTCATCATCCCTCGATCCATCCTTCGCACGCTAGGTCTCCTTCTGCCCTCCTGCGCCAACGACGTCTGGCTAGCCGACATGTTCGACTCGACAGCATCGCTCTCGATCGAGTGGATCGTCTCGATTCGGCATCTGGACCGGCCCACTGCCGGCCGCGAAGGAAGATGCTATGCGATGAGCGGAGGAACGGACTCCGAGGCCTTCTCGACGGCGACGGGATAGGCCAGGTCAGGCTGACGGGATGGAATAAGAGGAAGGGAGGGCAGGCCGACAAGAGGCGAGGGGCGCTAGAACTTTTCGTCGTAGGGTCGAAGGTCGACTTCGAGGGTCCAGCACGAGGGAGGCTGTGCTGCTGCGGCGTAGTACGCCTCTGCGATGGCGTCGGGGCTCATGAACGTCGATTGCTGCGCAGAGAAGGGGAGAGGAAGGGAGGGAGAAGCAAGGAGATGGGCGGGTCACGGCCGTGTTCAGTCGAAGTCCGTCGACGGAACGGCACAGACGCCGGCTGCCTCGACTCACCAGGTTCTTGAAGCGCTGACGGGTCGACTCGGTGTCGATGATGCCGTCGACGATGGTGTGCAAGACGTGCACGCCCTGCGGGGCATACTCGCGCGCCGTCGACTGGGCCAGGCTGCGGAGGGCAGCCTTTGCGGCTCCGAATGCGGCAAAGTTGGCGGATCCCTTGAGCGAGGCCGTGGCACCGGTAAAGGCGAGGAAGCCCTTTGTCTCGTGTCTTTCGCCGTCGCCGCCCTTGTCGTTCCACAGCGGTGCGCGCTTGACGGCGTCGAGGTGGGACTGGGCAAAGATGAGGGCGCCGACGACGGCGACGTCGAGGAGCTCCTTTAGCTGGGCGACGGTCGTGTCGAGGAGCGGTGCGCGCACGAAGCCGTTGGCGTTGAACACGCCGCCCCAGACGGCTGCGCCGGGAAAGTCGCGCTGGATGCGTGCATAGGCGTCGCGCACGCTCGACTCGTCGGTGGCATCGACGGCGTATCCCCTCGCGGTGCCCGTGGTGCCCGCGGTGCCCTTGCCGCTGAGCTGGTTGATCTGGTTTGCGAGCGAGGTCACGCGCTCCTCTGTGCGCGAGAGGAGGGCGACGGGGTGGCCGGCCTGTGCGAATCGCTTGGCCACGCTGTAGCCGGTGCCGGGCCCCGCTCCGATGACGACGATAATCTTGGACGCGGCGTTGGCGATCGACATGGCGGCGGTCGTCGTTGGAGCGTGAGGAGGAGTCGAATGCGGTCGAGTAGTTCGAGGATGGTGCCGTTGGTGGTGGCGAGCGGTGGTGGCGGTGGTGGTCGGATGGCGGAATGGTCCGGGCATTCCCTCGGCCGCCTCTGGTCGACGCTTCGGGGTTAAGGGCAGCCCGAGCAGAGGCCATCCATCGGCTGCTCAGCCAACACCGGCCGCAGCAACCAAAGGCAGCGCTCCCCAGCGCCGGGTGTGGAGGGCGCCGCCAGCCGTGCCCGCCGCAAGTGAGGCTCGTGCGTCAAAAACGGGCCCGGAAATTGGCTATGAAAAAACGGGGAAAAGACCCTCCGCCGCCCCGCCTTTTTCGCCGGGGGAGCTGGCCGTCCAAAATCGGTCTTCCCAGAGACTTTCAAGGTGACGTCAGCCATTTAGTTTTCCCAACACGGTATTCCGAGCACAAGGCAGGCCCATAAAAAGCCATTGATTCTTCAAGCGCCGCAAAGAATCAATTTTGCAAAGTCTTCGAATTTCTCGCAACGACCTCGAGCCGGAAACCAGCGGAAACCTGGTGAAAGCGCTGCATTCAGTATGCAGCCAGCCTGACCTCTGCCCCAGGGCCTTGACACCAATCTGCTGAAAATCGCTCAGATTCTCAATGCGATGGAAGCCCGACGGAAACAGCTTTGAGCGCTTTGTTTGCTCCTGGGCCTTCCACGTCGCTCCTGGCCCTGGCGTCGGCGACATCTCTTTTTGCCATCCGTCCGATCTGCACCGCTACCACGTCGCTCGATGGCAAGCACACTATCAATGCTGCCGCAGGCGAGGGGGAACCCACAGCCTCACGCTGGCCTGACTCGCCGTCGGCCAGGTCGCCCGCGCCCTTGACCCTCCCACACGGGATGGATAGGTACCGCCGTCATGGGGCCCTCGATGCCATCTCCAACGTCGGCGCCCCGATCCCCGCGCTGCTCTTCCTCGTCTGTATGTTGCGTCGGCCGGTGGCGCCTTCTGAGCTGTCACCGATACCGAGGCGTTGTTGAATCCGACCATGGCGGGGCCTCGGTCGGTGCCAGGTGCATCGTCCCTGTACAAACTCTTTGCGCTTCCATCGAGGCGGTGCGTCGACGAGATGGCGAGGCTCATGGCTGCGATGCTCCGAACCTCCTCCATTGAGCGGTGGCGGTTCAGTCCCTCGAAGCGGTACCTAGCCTCGATAGCGCCGCGGACAAGCAGGACCCCGCGACGGCCCGTCTCGACGCTTCTACGAGGCGATACGAGCGTAGAGGGAAAGGCACCGCACCGCGGCTACTCTCATGCATGCTTGCGGCGATGAGCGCAGGGCCAGGCTTCGATTAGACGAGGTTCCGAATAGAACGCGCTCACGACGACGTTGGGCTTCTATCGCTTATGCGCCCCTTTCCTCGTCGAGGCCCATCAGGGCAGCAGCTCCGACACCGACGTTCCTCGCCGCGAGCGGTCCTGCCTTTGCACTCCAGCGCTCCCGCTCTCCCCTCCGTCGAGTACGATACCGTTTTGGAAGTCCGCGAGTCCTCGGCCGCCACCCGCTTGGAAAGCGAGGCTGTCGTCGACCGAATTCGACTGTCATGCTCCCCAAGGTGGTCACGCGCTGCCAGGCCGTCCCACGCGGAAATCTCTGGACCGTCGCTTCTTTCGACGAGGGGGAAAGGGACCGTACCGCAGGTCTATCCTTGCCGCCTCGTCCCGCGGCGGCCGACGGTCGGTTACGGATCTCTCGCTTCCGGATGCTCCGCAGTTTGAATGAGGCCTCAGACTAGCATGGCTTTTGATGCTTTGAATGCAGCGAGCGCCTCGTCAGCCAGGGTGGGTCGGGGCGGGGCAGCGCGTGGGGAGATACCCCATACTGAGACGGTATCGAGCGCAGCCTGTCCTCTACCGACCGAGTGACGCGAGTCTCTCCGTGGTCAGCTGAACAGGCACCTGGTCGTGCAGTCCTGGAGCGGGGACGGTTGCCTACCATCCTGGCTCACCTTTCTGCCCATGTGCAAATTGAAGACGTTGCCCTGATAACGAACGGTACCAGAAGGTACAAGTACGAGTGCTCGTCCCATCAACACCGCCCTGTCCTCCCCACGTAGACACGGTCCCATCAACCTTACATCCCCTTGCCTTACCCTGCCTCCCCTCTACGTCTCTGGACGCACACACACACACACACACGCCACGCCCTTGCGATGAGCATCCACGACGATCCGCCGCTCCCGCTGGGACTCAACTACTCCAACTACGGCGCCTCGCCCTCCTACTGCGAGCACGATGGCGGGCAGTGGCTGACCAACCTGCAGTGGTGCGTGCCCGGAGCCAACCAGACGATCCAGCAGCTCGAGATGTCGGCCCGGGACCACGATCATCTTTATATCGCAAAGGAGAGCAACGGCGCGACGCGCGGCAGGACAAACGTCGCTTCGTGGAAGGTCCTCGTCGCCGTCATGCTCCTCATCTCGGGATGCCTTCAAATTGCGTCTGCCTCTCAATTCGTCGGCGGGATAGGACCTGCAACTTGACGACGAAGGGTCGCGGTATCATCGCCGGGATAGGAACTGCAAGTTGACGACGAAGGACTGTAGTGTCGTTGTAGGGACAGGCTTCCCAAGCACGGCTTCAAGAGATGGCGGCGTCGTCGAGGAATCTCGGTCTGTAGGCTGCTCGGTGCTCGGCTCCGGCCAGCGGGTCCGATACGACCACGCGGGGACTGTATCGCTCTGAGCCCCGCAGGCAGCTCGTTGTTGGTGCCATGACAGAAGGAATGACGAGGAAGCGAAAGGAGGACGATGCCTGGCCGTGAGACTGCTGCCCCTGGATAACGACCCGAAGAGTCTCCGATGACTTGCCCCCACGGCCCCAAGCAGAACAAAGGAGCGCTCCAGCACGGCGTGGCACCGGTCTGACCCGCCAAGCCAAGCCAAGCCAAGCCGTCTACTCGCAGCGACCATGTTTGAGTGTTTAGAGAGAGTGTGGGCTGCCCGACCTCGGCGCGAGGAGACGTCCGCAGCGACAAGTACGACGAGGTGCAGCCCTTGTGTGCTGTGGAGAAAGCTCGATGCCGGGCTCATGTCGGCTCGGCTCACGAGACAGACATAGAGACGGCGGGTCGACAGCGGGAATCGGTGGCGACGATTGCAGGCAGTCGAGAGCCATCATCGGGCGCCGCGGTGCAATCCTGGATCTCTTTCTGGTTGGCTGGCGCGCGTCCGGCAGGCCCACGGCCAGGGCCCAAAAAATTCCATCTGGTCGGTCATTGCCATCTTGGCGGGCGCCCCCCAAGATGAAGCCTGAAAGCGCGGCCTCTGCCTGCCTCAGCGTATTTACCGGCCGCGCCAGTTGTCGGCCTCAAAATTCGGTCGGTCATACAACAGGCCACGCCAACCTAGCCTAGGACCCTCGCCGTGCCTCGCCTCGTCTTGTCGCCCCACCGCCACCACCACCAGCATCATCACCACCACCACCACCATCCTCGTCGCATCGCTCATACCGACACGCATCACCACCACCATAATAGACACCACCAGAACAGCCGCCAGAGAGGGGAACCGCCACTGCTGACCAGCAAGAGCGCCATCGCCGACCAAGGCGTCAGATCGCCAACCGCCACCCGCAGCTTGGCAGACACGCCCGGCCTCGTCCTGAGTCTCGATTCACCGACTTCCTCTCAAGAAGATCGCTTCATCAATCGACCCCAGACGGCTGCCTAGCACAGGACCCGCCACCTGACCCAATCGCGCGCCAGCGCCAACCCACCGCCCGAGATGCCGTCCAACAAGGAGCTGCGCATCATTACGCTGCTCGTCATCGATGTCGCCTTTTTCTTTGTCGAGATCATCACCGGCTATGCCGTCGGCTCGCTCGCCCTCGTCGCCGACAGCTTCCACATGCTCAACGACGTCATGTCCCTCATCGTCGCCCTCTACGCCGTAAAGCTCTCGTCCAAGGACTCGGACCACCGCTTCTCCTACGGCTGGCAGCGCGCAGAGATCCTCGGCGCCCTCATCAACGGCGTCTTCCTCCTCGCGCTCTGCTTTAGCATCTTTATGGAGGCCATCGAGCGCTTCATTAACGTCACCGAGGTCTCGAACCCCAAGCTCGTCGTCATCGTCGGCTCCCTCGGCCTCGCCTCGAACCTCGTCGGCCTCCTCCTCTTCCACGACCACGGACACGCCCACGGCGGCCACTCGCACGGCCACGGCGGGCACAGCCACGGCGCCCACTCGCACGCCCACTCGCACGGCGTGGCCAGCACTGACACGGCCGACGAGCATGCAGAAGGCGACAGTGCCAAGCCGCTGCACGTAGGCGGCAGGAAGACTCCCTCGTCGTCTTCTGCGACCGAGGTCAACGACGACCTCGAGGATGGCGAGGCCGGTCCCAGCAAGCCGGCGACGAGGCACGGGAGGCAGGGCAGCGTCAGCAGCCTCTACCTCCACCCTGCCCAGACGCGCGCCTTTGTCGTCCAGACCGCCCACGACCTCGGCTACGACTCGCCCTCGCGCCGAGACGCTTCTGGCGCTGGCGCTGGCGGCAGCGGCGAGCCCTCCAAGCTGCTCGAGAACAGGCCCACCAACTACGGCGCCGTGTCGACCGAGCAGAATCTCGCCGATGCCGACCAGGACGTCGAGTCGGGCGTCGCTGGCGGCGGTGCCAAGCAGAAAAAGGGCGGCCTGTTTGGCGGCAGGAAGAGCAAGCGCAGCAGCCATGACGATCACGACGGGCACGCCCACTCCGAGGCCGACCACGGACACTCGCACGGCGGCCACGGGCACGGACACGGACACGGACACGGCCACGGCGAGGGCAGCATGAACATGCGCGGCGTATTCCTGCACGTGCTGGGCGATGCGCTGGGCAACGTCGGCGTCATTGCCGCCGGTCTCTTCATCATGCTCTCGGACGCGCCGTGGCGCTTCTACAGCGACCCGATGATTTCCTTCATCATCACCATCATCATCTTCCACTCTGCGCTGCCGCTGGTCAAGTCGGCGTCGTTTATCCTGCTGCAGGGCGTTCCGACGTCGGTGTCGCTCGAGAGCGTGCGGCGGTCGATCAAGGGCGTCGACGGCGTCATCAACCTGCACGAGCTGCACGTGTGGCAGCTGAGCGAGAGCAAGATTGTGGCGTCGGTCCACGTGCTCGTCGACTGTTCGTCGAACCAGAACGAAAAGTACATGGAGATTGCGGCCGAGATCCGGGCCGAGCTGCACCACTGGGGCATCCACTCTTCGACGATCCAGCCCGAGTTTATCCCGGGCGGGTTGAGGGAGGCGGCGCGCATCACGGGCGTCAGTGTGGCGGCGGGGGCGGGCGAGACGGACGAGCAGGGACGCCTCATGACGACCGAGGGGGCGCTCGTCGAGGACGAGGTGGGACGCGCGGATACCGCCTGCCTCATCGCGTGCGGTACCGACGATAGCTGCGTCGGCGCTAGCTGCTGCCCGCCCCCGCCCGCGCCGCCTGCCGCCGGTTCCGCCTCGGCCAGCGGAAGGACGACGCCCAAGAGCCGTAGGCCCAGCTAGCCGCGGTCGTCGTCCCATGTCGGTCCGTCTGTCGGTCCATTCGTCCGGTATCGGGGTGAGGCAAAGGTCCATTGCGACGATGCCTTGCATCCCCGTCCCACCTTCACACACACACACACAATTACACACACACACAATTACACACACACAGCAGAGCAGAGCGTAGACCGACGTATCGCTTCCTGTCGCCATGCCTCTCTCTGTCCCCTTCCGCCCCCTTTTCACCAGACTCGGCCACGGTACAGCCGAAGAGATACCAACCCGCGCTCCTTGGGCGCACCGCACGCTCCTTTTTTTTCCCGTCCAGTCCCTCTGCCCGCTCTGAAGACCACACGCTCCTTTTTCCCGTCGTCGACCTTGTCTAGTTCCGATCGGATTGGCTACAAAGACCCGCCGCCACCCCTCTCCCACTCTGTCCCTACCTATTCGGCAGGACCCTGCCCCCGATTTCACCGACACGTGTACTTGTATTCCCCGCCTCCCCCACCACCCACCACCTTCTTTGCCTCAATCCATCTCTACCCACACAGCCGCGTCGTCCCGTTCCGATGGGCTTCCTTTTGTCTTTGTGCATATTCGCAAGACGGGGAGAGCGAGAAGATGAGATGAGGGAGGGGAGAGGGGGGCGAAGGGAGGGAGGGTATAGAGTACAAAGTGGTCGTGCGGGCGGGAAGGGAGCCAGGGCAGGGCAGGAGTGGCAGGAGTGGCAGGGAGGGGGAGAAAGAAACGTTTTTGTTGCTGTCCATCATCGTCCCGCCTCCATCGTCGGAGCGCGGCAACTAGAAAAAGGACCATCTAGATCCCGTCGAGGAACCGCGGTGATGCGACCCGGACGACGAGGAACCGGGAGACTGTTTGTCCGAGTAGATCTTGACTAGTCCGTCGAGTTTCTCCATGACCTGTTCGTCGATGCGAGGCGGCACCAGTATAAGAGGCGAGGGGGCGGGAGAAGGTATCGGGATGAGTGGGGGGTTCTTCCTTCCTCGCCCAGCCAGGCAAAAGGGAGGGGGGGAGGGGGCAACGTACCATTTCGAGCTTCTCCTTGCGCTGCTGCAGGTCCAGATGCTTCTTGACGGCCGGGTTCTCGCGTGCAAACTTGGCCAGTTCCGACTTGCCCAGGTCGTAGATGAGTCTCGAGTCGATCTCGCGAGGGAACTGCCGGACGGGGCGGAGAGAAGTGAAGCAGGAGACGGTATCACGTTCGAGGCGATGGTGCATGGTCAGATCAGATCACAGGCAGGCGGGCAAATGACGGCGGTAGCGGCACCTTTTCCCTCCCTCGGGCACTCACCTGGTAAAAGAACTCGCTCAGCAGCTCAATGTTGATAAACATGACGGCCGTGTAGGTGAGCTTGTCGGCCACGACGTTGAGAAAGGCCTCTGGGCAGAAGGCCTTGCTCTCCGGGCCCAGCTTGCACCGCCTCGCCTTGAGCGCGTCGAGCCGCATCTTGAGCATCTTGGACCGCTCGCTCAGGAAGATGGCCTCGCGCGCCTTGATCAGCAGCGCCGAGTTGTAGTCTGGCCGCGTCGGGTCGTTGGCATCGTCGTCGTCGTCGTCGTCGTTGTTGGCGGAGGCGAGCGCCCCGTCGCCCCGGTCCGACGCTGCCGCCGCCGCCGCCGCCGAGGCCGCCTCTCGGGCGCGTATCCTCGCCATGGCCCGCTTGCGCTCGCGCTCCTCCATCATCTGGACGTACTCCATCGCCCCCTTGAGCCGCCGCGTGCCCAGCATCTTCTTGATGCCGTTGAGCGCCGTGTCGCACATCGACAGCTCCCGCTCCACCAGGCCAATCGACCGCGTCCGCCCGCTCTCCCACTCGTTGGGCTCCACCTCGACCTCGTACTTGAACGGCTTGACGCAGTTCTCGACCTGGTCGGCCGTCAGCCCAAAGCGGTCGCGCAGGATGGCCGTCGAAAACGCCATGATCCTCTCGGCCGATTCGGGGTGGTGGTTGAACGGCTCCGACCGGGCCAGGTACTCGATCTGCGTCCGGATGGCGTCGACGACGAGCTGCGTGCTGGTGCGCCCAATGCCGCTCTTGGTCAGCGCGCTCGAGCTGGCGTCGATCTTGTGCTGCCAGTACCGGTCGAGCTCCTCGGGGCTCAGCTTGCGGTTGTCGGCCAGCTGCGTCAGCTCGGGCGTCCGCGAGTCGGACCAGTACATCTGCGCCAGGATGTCCATGACCTTTTCGTCGAGCGCATGCTTGAGCAACGCCCGCACCTCGGGCTTGCCAAAATTGGCCGCAAACTCCTTGAAGCGCAGCTTGAGCGCGTCCATCGTCTCGGCCGCGTAGCTCTCGGCCGTGATGGACCGGTCGTTGTACTGCACCTTGAACTGGTACGACGCCTCCTCGAGCTCGACCTGCACCGCATTGGCGATGCCGTGCAGCGACTGGCCCATGCTCTCCTCGAGCACGCTCATCAGGCGGCGCCGCAGCGTGTCGGTGCCCGTCATGGGCTCGATGCCCGCGTTGCGCCCGCGCGCCGGCGCTCGGAAGTGCTCGCGATTGGCATTGAAGAAATCGGCCTCCTGCTTGAGCACCGCGCTCGACATGCGGCCGTCGCCGGCCCGGTCGTGGCCCTTGCTGCTCTGCAGGAAGCTGAGGTTGTTCTTGCAGACGACGCCGATATAGCCCAGCGCAAGCGGGTACTTGTTGTTGGACAGGATGCCCGCTCCGACCTCGGGCGGCACGAGGTCCATCTTGGTGACGACGCCGATGGTGCGGAGGCCGAGCGGGTCCACCTGCCGGCTGGCGCGCAGCGCCGGCGAGTTGGCCAGGTCGACGTCGGCGGCGCAGACGGCAAGGATGATGTTGGGCTCCTGGATGTACCTGTGGCAGAGGTTGGCGATCTTGTCGCGCAGCTCCTCTGGCTGGTCCATGCTCGAGATCTGCACGTAGCCCGGCAGGTCGATGAGCGTGAGGTCGGGCACGTGCGGGCTGTGGATGCGCAGCTCGATGGGCTCGTCGCTGACGCACTCGGACGCTGGCACGGCCATGTTGAGGTCGTAGAGCGTCTTTTGGATGTGGGAAAAGTCGGTGACCCTGCCGAGGCCGAGGCCGGGGAACTCGCCGTACTCGACGACGGTGTCCTTGGTGGCGCGACCGGGCGTGGCGGGGGTGTGGATGAGCGTGAGCTCGATGGGCCGGCGGGTGACCATGTTGTTGCCCTTGGGCAGGAACTCGTGGCCGACGATGGCTTCGAGCACGCTGCTCTTGCCGCTGCTCTGGGAGCCGATGACGACGATGCTGGGCAGGGTGAGCTGTTCGCTCTCGTGGTCGATTTCCTTGAGGATGTTGCGGACCTCGATCAACTTGCGCGTGAGCAGCATCAGCTCCTCGGTCGTCGTGGGCGGCGAGCGGCCGCCCGAGCCGACGTTCTTGCCCTGGTCGTCGTCATCGTCGCCAAAGATGGCCGTCGAGAGGCCAGCAGCCGCCGCCGCTGCCGCACCAGCCTCGCCCGGGTTCGGTCCGCCTCCGCCTCCGCCTCCGCCTCCGCCTCCGCCTCCGCCTCCGCCTCCTCCGTTTGCATCTTGGCCGCCCTGTCTGCCGCTCTGACCTTGCTGCCCGTCACCCCGTAGCGACTGGAAAAAGTCCCTGATGAAGCCGGGTGCTTGGATGGTGGGTGGCTTGATGCCGTCGATGGAGTCTGAGAGGGCGTCGAAGCCGGAGCGAGCGTTGTCGAGGGCGTCGGAGCCGAATGCCGAGAGGGAGTCGAAGGCGTCGAGGGCTCTGTCCGAGATGCGGTGGTAGGTGCCGCCGAGGAAGTCGCGGAACTCGTCGACCTTGTAGTTTGCGTAGGCGAGGGCGCCACCGCCGGCGGCGAGACCGTAGGCGGGGAGGCGGGCTGCGCGGAAGACGGCCTTTGGGACTGCGTTGAAGCTGAGCGCTCGGACGTGGACGAAGCGATTGCCGTAGAGGGTCGAGGGGCCGGCGGGGGAGCGCGCTGCGATGCGGTGGGACAGGAGCGACGGCCGAGACTGGAGACCGAAGGCGGAGCCACGGCGTGTGATGGGACTGTGGGAGAAGTGGCTGCGTGCTGCGGCCGAGGCATTCGAGGTGGTGGATGGCGGCAGTCTGGCGGCCATGAGCCGGGCTAGAGACGATGCGGGCATGGTGGAGGTGGTTTGGAAAGAGTCAAAGGCTGGCGGCGAGCTAGGGGCGGGTCGCCCGTCGCTCCCTGTGCTGTTGTCCAGGAGCCGAGTGTGGGTGAGAGGAGGTGAAGAGGGAGGCGGGTGGCGTGTCGTCAGAGAGGATGTGGAGAATGTTCAGAGTGGCGGCATGAAAGGGAGATTGCAGAGAGAGAGGGGGGATGGCGGACTGGAGGGTGGTGGTGGCGTCAGGCTGAGTAGTGTTTCAACACCCTTGATTGGTTGGTTGGCTGTGAGGCCAGGCGGGTCTGTTGGCTGCTCCACCTGGCCGGGCCGCGCCTCAGTCTAGACTCCCTCGAGGTCCATCTCGGAGCCGAGTGGCCACTCGGCGTGGCGCCGGTCCGCGGGCCCGTCGGTCAAATGGACGGCCAAATGGAATGGGCTGCGAGTCACGCCGCGGCGGGGCGGGGCGAGGGCAGGAGGGGGCGACGACGGAGGGGACCCTGGGGGAAGCAGGCCAAGAAGAAACACGACTCCTCCCCGCGCCCCCCGCCTCCGCCTCGCCTTGCCGTTGGCCAGGCGGGTTGAGGTGTTGGGGCGCGCGGCAGAGGGCGACACAGATCCTACGTCGGCCCTTGTCCTCTCCTCCCTCAACATCCGCTCACTCCCGCAACATCACCACCACCACCACCGCCACCACCGCCACCACCACCACCGACCACCTCACCTATCACAATGCCGTCCAAACACCTCCTCTTCCACAACGGCCTCATCTTTACCGCCCCCGCAGCCGAGCTCTCGGCCGCGTCGCTGCAACCCGCGCTCCACCGCTACAGCGACGCATCGGCCGCCGCCTCGTCGTCGTCGTCGCTTCCCGGCCGCTTTGCAGAGGCGCTCCTCGTCAGGGACGAAGCCATCCTCGCCGTCGGCACCCTCGACGAATGCCGGGCCGCCGCCGCAGGAAACGACATCCGACACACTGACCTCCAGGGCAAGCTCCTCCTCCCTTCCTTCATCGACGGACACACCCACGTCACCCTCTTTGGTCAGTCGATGCAGAAGCTCGACCTGGCTCCCTGCACCGACCTCGCCTCGATCCAGGCAAAGCTGCTGGCCTACCGCAACGCAAACCCCAACCTCGACCGCATCCTCGCAAAGGGCTGGCTCCAAAAGACGACCCACAACGTCGCCCTCTCGTCGATGATCGACGACGTCGTCTCCGACATCCCCGTCTACATCGAGTCAAAGGACCTCCACTCGCACTGGCTCAACCAGAGCGCCCTCGCCGAGCTCGGCATCCGCCACGACACGCCCAACCCGCCCGGCGGCACCATCCAGCGCGACCCCACCACGCGCGCCGCAAACGGACTCATGAGCGAGCTGGCCAACATCAACATCGTCTGGCCCGCCCTCGCCTCGCTCCGCAGCGACGCAGAGACCGAGTCCGACTTCCAGCTCGCCGTCGACGCCTACCTCGCCTCGGGCTACACGGGCGTCGTCGAAATGGCCCTCGACGAGTCGGCCCTCGCCTGCTTCCTGCGCGTCCGCGACCGGGCCGGCGGCCGCCTCCCGCTCCGCATCGCCGCCCACTACATTATCCGCCCGGGCCCCCCCGAGGCCGTCATGAAGCAGGTCGAACGCGCCATCGAGCTCTTCCACCTCCACGGCGGCAAAGAGGCCGGAAGGGACGTAGGCGACCTCCGCGTCGTCGGCATCAAGATCATGTGCGACGGCGTCATTGACGCGTGCACCGCCGCCCTCAAGGAGCCCTACGCCGACGGCAGCCGGGCGGGTCCCATCTGGACCTACGAGATGCTGCACCCCGTGCTGCACCGCGCCGACTCCGAGGGCCTCCAGCTCGCCCTGCACGCCATCGGCGACGAGGCGGTGCACATTGCCGTCGAGGCCATCGCGTCGCTGCCCAACGAGGCGTCGAACCCGATCGCATCGAGGCGACACCGCATCGAGCACCTCGAGCTCACCGACCCGGTCGACATTGAGAAGCTCGGCCGGCTGGGCATCACCGCCAGCGTGCAGCCGGTGCACTCGGACCCGGCCATCCTGTCTGGGTGGTACGCCCAGCTCTCGTCGCGGCCGCACGAGCACGACGAGCGGTGTTCGCGCGCCTTTGCCTACCGCCACTTTATCGAGTGCGGCGCGCCCCTGGCCATCGGCAGCGACACGCCCACCGCCTCGCACCTCATCTTCCCCAACCTCTACAACGCCGTCACGCGCCGGTCTACGCGCCCCCTCGAGCGCGGGCAGGGTCTGCGCACGACGCCCGAACAGGCCATCCCGCTCGCCACGGCCCTCGCTGCCGCTACGTATGGCGCTGCGAGGAGCTGCAAGGCCGAAGACGCCACGGGCAGCCTTGAACGCGGCAAGAGCGCCGATTTCGTCGTCGTCGATAGCGACCTCTTTGCGTCGTACGGCGACGATGGCGGAGAGGGGCTCATGAAGGCCAAGATCCTGCAGACTTGGTTCCGTGGCCGCGTCGTGTTTGAGCTGCCCAACTGAGGGCGCGGCAGGTAGCAAGCACTCTTACCGCTCTTGCCCTTTGCACTAGAGATCCCGTCGGTCCGTCGCCAACCCCCAGCATGCCTTGCATGGGCGAATTCATAGAAAGCTTCACGCATCCTCATCATCACCTTCCGCTCTCAGCGAGGGGGGGGAAAGAGATCAGGCTGACAAACCCAGATCCCCATCCAACGCGTCGGTGTTTTTCCAAAGCAGCTTGGGTTGCGCGTTCTGCGTTTTTGCATGGTGATGGTGGTGGTGGTGTGCGTATCATTGGGTCAAGGTGTGCGTGTAAGGACAATGGACGGTCACTTCTCCCATCCCACGCTTCGACGACGAGGGAGGGAGGAGGGGTACGAGCAAGGTTGTGAAATTTTCGATTTTGGACTGGCCGTCGCTAGAGACGACAAGGGCGTTGGTCCCGACCTTCTCGGGCATAGACGAGGGCGAGGGCCAGGGCGAGGGCCAGGGTGGTGATAGTGGTACATGCACAAGCGATGCCAGCGTGCAGTAGATGAGGACAGAAGTTGGTAGAGCAGCTTGGATTCGAGTGTGCTCGTTTGCCAATAGAGGGGAGGTGGGATGGGGAAGTGTGGAATGGGGTACCGTCTTGTTTAACGGTACGACTGTGGAGGTGGTGAGGCGATGGGTAAATGGGGAGAGGGAACGGAGCGTCAGTGGCGTGGTTCTTCGAGGATGACGTGAGGGCGGCAACTCGACGGGTGGCAGCGTCGGAAGTGGCTCGTGTGGTCCCTTCCCTGCAGCTTTGTGGCCCTCCCCCGTCTGCCGTGTCCACGACGAGAACGCGACGAGTCTCTCTTAACGTCGTCCGCGCTTCTTCGCAATTTGAAATCTCGTCTTGGACCAGCAAGGCGGGAGCCCTGCCAAGACCAGGACAGCCCCCGTGCTCGTCGCCAAGCATCCAGCTGCAGGGAACCACCGCCTCGATCCGCGCCGACCACCGTCGTAACCGTCTTTTCGTCGTCATTGTCGCGACAGTGCAGCGCCAGCGCCGGCTGCCGATGCTCACCTTCTGCCTCCTGGCACGGGCACCCTGACCACCGAACTTCTTGGGCTCCATCCTGCGCGTGTCGGCGATCAGGAGGGTCCTGTCGTAGCTGACAAACAGCTGTCGGAGCTCGAGGGCCGAGGCGGCGTCGTAGTACTTGGCGTAGTAGGCGACGAGGGCCTTGGCAATCGCCTGGCGGATGGCGTAGACCTGCGAGGTGTGGCCACCTCCCGAGACGCGGACGCGGATGTCGACGGTCCTGGAAGGGCAGGTCGGCGGCGTGGGTCAAAGAGGTAGTCGGGTGGGTCAGGTTCGTGCTCATACGGCGGTGTCGGCGCCGCAAGGAAGACCAGACCAGCAACGCAGAGCCAGCCGATGCAAGCGCTCCTTCTCCTGTCCGTTTCCCTTTCCTGCCTGCCGTCTCAGGGCCAGGGGACGGCTTAAGCTGCGACCGCGAGCGTGTCGTGCTCCTTAATCGTCTCCGTCAATCCAGCGGTTTCCAGTCCGCTCCGCCCTTTATCGTCGCTTGACCTGCCGTCTTCTCTTCTAGGCGAGCCGATACGCCATCGTCGCAGGAGGCAGTCTACCCAAAAGCCCCAGCCTCCTTCTTGCCTTCGATTCCCTCCTTCGCTGCATGGCCGGCTCTGCGTTTGTTGTACGCGTCGCACCAAGACGAGCGCGGGGCAGGCGTTGCCACGCCGGCCTTTGTCGTCGAGTCGGGGCAGTTGACACTTACGAGAACTTGTCCTCACCGACGACGAGGACGGGCTCGTAGACCTTCCATCGGAGGATCTCGGGCTGGGTGAGCGAGATGGGCTGGCCGTTGATGCGGATGAGACCCTTGCCCTCCTTGGCGTGGGCGACGGCAGTGGCCGTCTTCTTCTTTCCAAAGCACGAAACCGATGGCGCCGACATGATGACTGTGGGGTGGCGGTGCAGGTTCGACGGGAGATGGCGGGTTCAGAGGTCGGTGAGAGGTCGGAGGGATCGAAGGAGGTAGAGAGGTCGAGAGGTCGGCGGAGTCGTAAGGTCAGGTCGAAAGTGTGGCAGAGGTTGGAGGTCGGTCGAGGTTTCGAGGTTCGAGGTCGGTCGGACGAGAGGTTCCAGGTAGGTGCAGAAGCAGAGCGACAGCGGGGCAAAGCAGCAGCAGCGGCGATGGTGAGTCTTCCGTCTCTCGAAGCGATGCGCAAATAGGCTGGGCTAGGGAGCTATGCTGCTCTGGGCCGGACGGCGACGACCTACCTTTCTTAATGGGGTTGCGTGGATGGTGAGGAGAGGGGCTTCCGAGCTCGATGGCGATGTCGCGCGCTGGGCCTCGCCCCGGCTGTCTGTCTCTGGCTTGGCTGGCTCTGGCCTGGCTGGGCTGGGCTGGGACCGCTGGCCCCACGCACTCGAACCTCTGGCCCTGCCCCGCCGACCTCGCCTGGCGGCTGTGGTTGGCCGGCCCTTTGCTGGTTGGCAGGCCTCTGGCTGCGCGGCCCCGACTTCGACGGCGGGTGGCTGGCTGGCCCGACAAGGTTTTGAAAAATTCCCTCGTCGGCCGAAGCTGATGCAAACTCACGTGCCCCATTCGAGCTCGGAGCCGTCCATGCCCAAATCACCGATTGGATAATTTTGAAAATGTGGTGGCACTCCCGATCAAGACGGGCATCGGGAAATCGGAAGATGCGGTGCCGAGCAAGCCTGCCAGATTTTCTTTCCTTCGCGCGGGCGGCGAGGGCCTTGGCTGGGACCTGTGGGCCCGTTGCGCCTCTGGCCGCGAGGTCGCATCTGCCAACCTTCATCTCGACTGCCATCTCTGTGCCACCCTCATCGCACCCATCCCCTTGCCTTGCCTTGCCTCCTTCCGGGCCTTCCAGCCGGTAAAACACCGGTCGCCCTCTCTTCGCCACAGCCTCTGAAGCGCTGCCCGCACGCCATGTCGTCTTCGGCCTTTCCTTCGCTGATGGCGCTGCGACAGACTCTTCGCCGCAGCGTCGCCGTCGCCCCTTCGCACCTCGCCGCATCCACATCGGCCTCGGCCTCGGCCGCGCGCACAAGCAGCCTCCACACCACGTCCAGCCGCACCAACGCCGCCGTAGACTCGCAGCCGTCCACCAGCTCCTCGTCGTCACCCTCGTCCCCGGCATCCGCACCCATCGCCTCGTCATCCGCCCCAGCGTCGTCTTCCTCGTCCGGCGCCACCCCGCCGGATGCCACCGCCGCCGCATCTGCAAATGATGGCCACCTGAATCTCGACAGCCTCCATGCCGAGTTTGGCTTCGAGCCCAACTCCACCGCGGGCCTCTTTGCCGACATGGACAGTGCTGCCGACGTCATCGCTGTCCCGACCAAGCCCTCGCTCGTCCACGTTCGCCTTTCCTACCTGTCGCCGTCGACCAAGCCTCTGAGGCCAGTGACGGCTTCGACCGCCACCACTGCGCCCGCCCCGGCAGCTCCGGAGACCGCCTCCGCCGATGCCACCGCCACCGGAGGCGACGCATCTGCCTCGACCTCTTCCTCAGCCCCAGACTCAGCGTCACCCTCTGCCGCCGACGTCGCCTCGACCAGCACCGTGGCGACGCCCGTGCCCACCCGCATCCGACGGCCGTCACCGCGCTACGTTCCGCTCTCGTCGCACGTCTTTGACGCTCCGGCACGCCGCGACGTCCTCCACTCTGCCGTCGTCTACTACCTCGACGCCCAGCGCTCCGGCACCGCCTCGACCAAGACGCGGTCCGACGTGCGCGGATCCAAGAAGAAGCTGCGGCCGCAAAAGGGTTCCGGCCAGGCCCGTCTCGGTACCATGTCCAACCCCATCCTCCGCGGCGGTGCCGTCGCCCACGGTCCCCGCCCGCGCGACCACTCGACCCAGCTGCCACGACGGGTGCGCGAGCTGGCGCTCCGCTCGGCCCTCTCGGCGAGATGGAGGGAGGGCAACCTGATCGTCGTCCCCAGCTTCGACTGGATGCCCCCGCCGGGCTCCACGGGTCCGCTGGCGCGCCTCCTCGCCGCCAAAAAGTGGACCGACGCGCTGTTCCTCTCTGCGCCGCGCAACCCTTCGCCCTCGACGGCGGCCCTCTCGTCGCCGCTGGACCGCCCTTCGTCGTCGGACCCGGTGTACACGAAGGCGCAGAGGAGGGAGCACACGGCGTCGCTGCGCAACTTTGCCCTGTCGTCGTCCAACTTGCCGCGCATCGAGCTCATCGAACTCGACGCGCTGACCGAGGAGGCGAGGGAGAATGCAAAGACCGAGGAGGAAAAGAAGCGGCCGGGCGAGCTGCACGCCTACGAGGTCCTCAAGAGGCAGAAGGTCATCTGCGACCTCGGCGCCATCGAGTGGCTCGAGGAGAAGCTCGGCGGCGCCATCTGGCACGAGCAGGCCCAGATCGATGGCCTCATCCTCGACCGCGGCGAGGGCGGCATCGAGTCCCAGTCTCTCAGGCAGATGGAGGAGGAGCTCGACCAGCAGATCGTCGACGCCGCCACTGCCAACGCCTCGGCCGCCCCGACGCCCGCCCCGGCCCCCGCTGCAGCGGCATAGATGCAACCGCGGTCGAACTCACTCCGTCGTGATGATGTACCCCTCGTCTCCTCCGCTGCCCGCGCACATGCACGCATGCCATGCCAATCACCGTCCGCACAACAATATCACCAGAGCAGAGCCACACCCGTCGGTTTCGCGACCTCGCTTCGTTGGATTAGCACAGTGATGGCTGATGCGGCACAAGGGTCGAGGCCGTACGATGGGACGCCGCCACGCCGATTGTGGGCGTGAGGATATGCCCGTGACTTCGACAAGTGAGGAAAGAGATTGGATACGCAGTGATGCCGAACGATGATGATGCTGTGATGCTGCATGGTGCTGCTTTTGGTGTCGGTCGGTAGATTGGTCGATGGCCCCATGTCGGCCTGTTTTGATGGATCCTGGCTGGCCGTCGCTACCTGCGCCGTCGCGGGCGGCCCTTGATGATGGATCAGCCTCCCGCTCCTTCTTCTCCTCCTTCTTCTCCCTCTGCTCCCTCTGCTCCCTCTGCCCCCTCTGCTTCTTCTGCTCGGCCTGCTTCTCCTGCCTGGCCGGCTCCTCCTCCTCGTCCGAACAACATCCTCTGTGCAATCATTGCGTCAGCGGCCGCCAACCTTCCGGCGAACGCCATCCAATTCGGATCGGCATTCAGCCTAGCTTCGATCCGGGCCATACCCATGTTGAAGTGGGCCATCCCGATCGCGACAGCCCGTCTGCGCTCCAGCTCGGCTTCCTGGTGGAGGACCTCTTCGAATGCCGCCTCCTCGGCGGCGCGCTCCGCTTCGGCGCGATCCACGACCTGAGGTTGGGCGAGGAAGCCCATCCTCTCCAGCTCCTGCCGGCGGTGTTCGGCGACGGCGGCCCTGCGCTCGGCCTCGAGGCGCTTTTCTTCCTCGATGTCGAAGCCGAGGATCTTGGCCATGTCCTCCATCGTCAGGTGGTGGCTCGACTCGCTGCTGCTCTTGGCAGCTCCCACCGTCGAGCTGAGCGAGGCCGCAATCGACTGCGCCCGGAGCTCGGCGACCCGCGCAGATGAGCGTCCCTGCTTGCTCGGAGTGCTGGGCGCGGCCGACGTCGAGGCCATGGCGCTGTCGCCGGCCGCGTCGTCGCTGGCTGCGTCGGCCGCACTAGCATCGACCTGGGCTTCGGCGGCTCCGGGCAGCTTGGCGAGGCCCTGCCTACCCTTCTGCTCCGCGACCTCGATGACGGCCGACTCGATGGTGTCCTTCATCTTGACCCGGATGACGGTCGTCGTTCTGGCCTGACCGATGCGGTTGATCCGGCCAATGGCCTGCGCCTCGAGCGCACCGTCCATGGCGGGCTCCATCATGTAGGCCAGGTCGCAGCAGGTCAGCGTCAGGCCCGCCGCTCCTTCGCTGGCGCGGAAGGGGACCAGGATCACCTGGGTCTCGGCGTCGTCGCGGATCGACGTGAGGGCGTGCGACTGAGACGTTGAACCGCCAGCGAACGCGACAGCTCCGATGCCGTTCTCCAGCAGCGCCGTCTGGATGAACGAGAGCATCGTCTTCCAGTGCGAAAAGACGACGGCCTTGTGCGTCGGGTCCTGGCGCAGGCGGCTGCGGAGGTCGCGGATGAGGCCGCTGATCTTGCCGCCAAAGTCGCCGTAGACGGCGTCCGCGTCATCCTCGCCACCGGCGCCCGGGCTCGGGCGTCGCTTCTCGACAGGCCGGAGGATCTCGGTGATGTCGTCGGCCGTGAAGCGGAGTCGGCAGTTGGGGCAGCGAGGCGCGTCGGCGGCCAGCTTCTGGAGGCAGTCGAGGCAGAAGGAGTGATAGCAGGGCAGGACGCCCGGGCAGAGCATGGCCTCGAGGCAGACGCCGCACTCGGCCATCGTAGCAGCGTCAGCTCCGCCGCTTTTTTTGCCGTCGCCATCGCCATTGCCGTCGCCGCCGTCGGCGTCGGTCGCGGTCTGCGGACCAAGCACCTCGTCCCTCCGCGTGTGCAGGAAGGCGACCTCGCGCTCCTTGGCCTCCTGCCGGGCGAGGACGCCCTGGAGCCGCGTGTGGGTGGTCGAGAGCTTCTCACGCGGCTTGTAGTACCAAACGCGCGCCGACTGCCGCTGGGCCGCGTTGCCGCGCAGACGTGACTTTTTCAGGACCGGCTCAAAGTCGCCATCGTTGCGGGTGTTTTTGGGCGAGGCCTTGCGGCGCTTGGCGGAGGATGCGGCGCCGTTGGAGCTCGGGCCGGCCTCGGCATCGTCGCCGCCGCCATCGTGACCGTCCTGTGCGTCGCCCTCGTCGCCGTACAGGCCTCGTCGATGGGCTGCGACGACCTCTTCGAGCGCACCCTCGTCCATGTCCTCCGAGCCGGCGTCTTGGACGATGAGGTGGAAGCGCGGGTCAGTGAGGTCGACGCTCTTGTCGGTGGCGTTCTTGAAGGCCTTTTCGAAAAAGACGCGGGTCGGTCGCAGGGGATCCCAGGGGCCCCGCGGCTCCTGCACCTCCTCGTCGGCCAAGGTCTGGTCGGCCCTGCTTTGACCGATGCCCGCTCCTTCCAGCGCGGTGGCGGCGGCGTCGCCAGGGGCGCTGCCCGCCTCGGGGTGCTGCTGTCCGCCCTCCTTGGCCCGGTGCTTCTGCAGGAGCATCTTGACCCAGTAGAGCGCCTCGCTCCAGCGGAAGGCGGTGTGTCCGCCACCCTCCTCGTCGTCATCCAAGCCCGCCGACTTCCTCTTGCCTCGACCTCTCGGCCTGTAGGCCTGGTCGCCGCGGTTCGTCTTCTTGGCCGCCTGCTCGAGGCCGAGGTCGGCACTCCCGTCCGCTCCGGCTGCTCCGACGTGCTCCTCGTCCCCCTCATCCTCTTCCGGATCGCCAACACCCCTTGCCCTTCTCTCCGCGCACGCATCTTGGCAGATTTTGAGTGCGCGTCGCAGTGCGATGCAGACCTCCTCGCCCCTGAGCACAGGAGGCCCGCCGGTCCAGCGACGCTTGTTGCGCTCCTCTTCGTAAAAGTCCTGGCCCCAGATGAGCTGGAGCGTGGCGAGGACGGCGTCCTTGCGCAGCGCGTTGAGCTCGGCGTCCGACTTGGCGCAGAGCGAGGAGAAGAGCTGGTCAAAGGTGAGGCGCTTGCCACCTGCGCCGTAGCCGAGCTGCTGGGCGACTTGCGGGTGGCTGAGCAGCTGGCGCAGGGTGACGAGGAACTTGATGTCTCCCGGATCGCGCAGCCCTCGGCCGGCGCGGCGCGCCATGAGATCGCGGTGACGCTTGACCTCGCGCTCATAAAAGAGCCTCTCGACCTCGGGCAGCTCGAGCTCGAGCCACTCCGTGTTCGAGGGCGGCAGGGCGATCTCGTCCTGGACGTGCACCTTGGTGTGGCGCCACATGTAGCGCGGCAACACTGCGCGCATCCTGCGGATCCCCTCGATCTCGCCCTCAGCAAAGGGGCGCTCGAGGAGGTCCTTGAACTTGTGCGGCGACGCTAGCGGATCGTGGTCGAGGAAGCCAAAGATGCCGTGGAGGTCCTTGATGCCCTTGGCGACGGGCGTTCCCGTCACCATCCAGCAGTTGACCCGCCAAAGCTCGTGGACCATGGCGGTGGCCTTGCTCGGGCTGGCGGCCACAATCTGGGCCTCGTCGAGCATCACGCGCCACCACAGGACCTCGAGCAACGGCGAGCGAGGCCCGCTGCCGTTATCGGTCGTCTTCTGGCTGAGCGAGAGCTGCGACGCCAGGTCCTCGTAGGACGCCACGACGATGTCGGGCTCCACGAGGTTGGCCGACGCCCAGTCCCGCACGGCGGTGCGCGAGTCTGAGCGGCCCCACCTGAACATGTCGTCGCTGAAGCGGACGACGCCGGGCTGGGTGGTGCCCGGTTGACCAGGAACGGGTGCGGTGCCGGTCTGCCTGCTGCGGAAGTGCTTGCGGATCTCGTCGAGCCACTGCTCGATGAGCGCCGCCGGGCACACGACCAGCGTTGCGCGGGAGACGAGCGGCTTCAGCTCGCCGCGGCCGAGGCCCGCCACCAGCGAGGCCGAGCGGGATCGATGGGCAGGCGTGAGTCCCTGGATGCTCGGGCACGGGTTCGATGCCACCAAGGCCAGGCTCTCGAGCGTCTTGCCGAGCCCCATCGACTCGCAGAGCACGCCGCCGGGCTCGCGGCGACGGCAGGTGAAGTGACGGAGCGACACGATGCCCGTCGACTCGTCAAAGAAGAGCTCGACGTCGACGGGATCGGTGAATGGCTCCTTGAGGACGACGTCGGCCTCGGTCACGGCCATCGGAGCCGGCTCGTTCGAGGCTGCGATCACTTTCGCCTTGCCCTTGCCCTTGACCTTGGCCGGCGCCCTCTTGGGTGGGGCTCTCTTGCCCTTTCTGTCGGACGATCCTCCCTGGTCCGACTGCTCGGGGTCGGGCTTGACTTCCTCGCCTTCCTCTGCCTTTGCCTTCTGCTCCCGCTCGTGCTCCTGCTGCCGATGCTTTGCCAGCCTCCTCTGGTACTCCCAGTCGGCCTGCTTGCGCTTCCAGTCCAGGGCCATCTGTCGGCGAAGCGCATTGACGCGTTCGACCGGCTTGGTCTTGAGGGCGAGCCATCCCGGGTAGGTGAGCTCTGCTTCGTCATCGAGCGCAGTCTCCCGATCGACCATCCAGGCGAGGCAGCGGGCCTGGTAGGGGAGCAGCGGAGTGGGGATCACCTCGCTCGGCGGCGCTCGCATAGCGCCATCCCTCGGCGGGCGGCACATCTCGAGCAGGCTGGCAATGTTGGTGTCGAGGGGCAGGAAGGCTTCGTCGTCCTCGTCGGCCTCGGCCTCGAGCTCTTCGCAGGTGACCAGCTCGGTCGTGGTGTGGCTCGGGTCGGCGATGCGCTTGCGGCCATTGTTCCGCTGGACGAGCCCCACGTCGGCCTTGCGTCGCTTGTAGTTGTTGCCTCGGCTCGGCGACTTCTTGGGCGACGGCTGCTCCTTGGCGAGCAGCTTCTTGCACGTGCTCAGGCTGGTCCTCGCTGGCGGCAGGCGGTAGAATGACTTGGTGTCGTCCCAGAGGCTCTTGACGGCCGTATTGACTTCGAGGAAGCCGTCGGCGTAGTCGACGACCCGCGGCAGGAGGTGCTTCAGCGAGCGTGAGAGCGTCAGCGCGTTCGGAGCGACGTTAGCCGGAAGGTCCTGGACAGACTCGATGAAGCCGTCGGCGTGGCCATCAGCGCCGTAGTGGAGCGCCTCGGGTGCCAGGCCGACCTCGATCAGCATGTCCCCGGGCAGGCGCGACGGCGGTGCGCGCTTGTGAGGCGACTCCTCGGCGATGCGCGCGCCCGTCAGCGGATCGACCCACCAGGTCGCGTAGGCGTCCTTTTCCATCCGTGCCCGACCCCACGGATGGGGAGCACCAGCACCGATGATGGGCTCGTCGGGCGGGAAGATGGGCTCGCGCAGCGTGACCTCGCCGTACAGCGTGACCCACTCGCGCGTCACAAGGTTCTCTTCGAGATGGCAGAGCGGGTGGCCGGCGTCGCCGATGGCGCTGGGCACGATGTAGCCCAGGGCGCAGCTGGTGGGGCACTCGTCACGGAGGATCTCTCGCTCCAGCTTCCAGTTGGCATCTTCGGGACCTGTGGAAGCACAGCGCGAATGGTACGAAGGATCAGCCAGGTTAGAGAATCCTGGGAACACAACCGTCGCGGTGCTCTCAAGACGCAGCACAGATACCGCCTCTGGCAGGCGCCCTGTAGGAGCGAGGCCTACAGTACCCACCCTTCTGGAACCACTTGTTAAAATCAAAGCTCGAGTCGAGAGCCTTTTGAAGCCTCTGGCGCTGCGACTCCAGCCTCTCGACCAGGCTGGACGGGGCGTGGGCCTGAACCTGGAAGACGAGCTCGAGCTTGTCGCTCTCCGGGTAGCGAACGATGCCAAGGTCGTACAGGTAGCGCTTGACGGGGAACAGCTCGACCTCGAGCGCCAGCGTCTTTGCCTCTTGCTCGCCGGCACTGTCCAGCGGCTGCTGGGGCGGCACCGGGTCCTCCGCTGCCGTCCTGCGCTTTCTGCTGGTGGTCGTGCCCGCCTTGTCGCTGCTCTTCGCTTCGGTCGAGCTCGACCTGTCCCTGGCAGACGCCCTGGTCACAGGCGCATCGCCGACACCTGCCTGCACCTCCGTCTTGACGCCGTCGGCCTGCTGCAACGGGGACCCGGCGGCGTCGCCGGTCGCAAAGTACGCCTCCAGCCTTTTCCAACAGCTGAGAGCAGCATCGATCTCCGCGTGGGCGTTGGGCACAAACACCTTGTGCGTCGGGTTGAGTGGTCCGGCCGAGGAGTCGAGGTGCGGGTTGTCGCCCAGCTCGAGGTAGAAGTCGAAGAGGGGAATGGGGTTCTCCGGCAGGATGATGGTCGCACCGCCCGTGACAGCAGCGTGGCGGGTGAGAGGTGCCGGCGATGCGCTTGAGCTTGTGTGGGCGGCGGCGGCCGGCGTGGGCGCGGGCGTCCCAGACGGCGAGGCAGAGTGTGAAGCCTGGGCCTCGACAGGGCCAGCGGCGGTCGAACCCGGAACGGCCATGGCAGCCGCTTCGGGCGCCGGCCCGGCGAGCCTGCGGGACCTTCGAGTGTCGACCATGACCGACTGCTGCTTCAGCTCATAGCGGGGGTTGCAGGTAAGCAGTTGAATGACGGTCTGCACCACGGCGGCCTCGTCGTGCGAGCGCTGTCAGAGTGCTGGGCGGGTCCAAGGACCAGACGAACGAGCGGACAGATGAAGGGAGGCCTGATAGCACCAGCAAGTGGGAGGGAAAGCGACAGGTGCGGAGGAAAGAAGATGAGCTGGGAAGTCAAGGAGGCTGCAGTACCAGCGATGCGGAGCGCGGTGCGGCAAGCTGCTGAGCCAAGCAGCCGGGCGAGCGCAGACCGTGGCCAGAGCTGAAGGCGGAAGGCGGCGATGGGCGGCGGCAGGGATGATGGTGGTCGGGAGGAAGCACAGCAGGCCGGAAGACGCCACCCAGCATACAGTACCCATCCCCCTTTCCGCCCTGCTTTGCCCCGCCTTGCCTCGCCGGGCTTGGGCCTCCCAGTCAAAACCCGAAAAAAGCAGGTTGCGCAGCCAGCCAGCAGGCCAATACGAGGTCGGGCCAGCCGGCGAGGCGGGCGTACGTACGCGCGTGGTCCAACACCGAGCGAGCCCAGCCTGCCTGCCTGCTGCCGGCCTGCTGCTGCCGCCAAAAGAGAAGACCCTGCATGGCCTAGCCAGCCCGCTGGCCTGCCTGCCTCTCAGCTTTGCTTGGCTTCCTGGCCAAGGCAGCGAAGAAGCAAAGGCGGCCCAGCCCCACTAGCGCTTCGGCCAGCCAAAAAGAAGACGTCCCCACCTCCACCTCTCATGCTGGGCTGCTGCTGGCCAGCAGGCGGGCAGCGGCAGCGCCTGGCCGAAGAGTGATCAGGCCGTGCATGCAGACGCTCTGGAAATTTTTCGCAGCAGCCCGCCGGCCGCCTTGGCCTCGCCTCCTGCCTGCCTCGACCCGTGGTCCCTGCTCTCCGTCGACGGCCCTCTCTCGTATCGCACCAATCCAACCAGGGCCCCCTACCATCGGCTCCTCCGACGGCACCAGCGCCCGCATACCCAGGCCTCAACCACGATGAGCTCTCGCGGCGGACAGCCGGCTGGCCCTTCTCGCGGCGGCGGCGGCGGCGGCGGCGGCCGAGGTCATCGGGGACGAGGCGGTGGCAGAGGCAGAGGAGGAGGAGGAGGAAGAGGAGGCGCCAGAGGAGGGCAGCGACCACCAGGCCATCACCAGCACCGACCCTACCAGCAACATATCCACCAGCATCAAGACAACGGCTACAGCAGCCATCGCACGCCAGGGACATACAACCACGACGAGCAGCAGCAGCAGCCACATTACCACCGGCAAGATCAAAGAGGAGGCGGATCGTTTGCGTGCGACTATGTCGATCCAACGGCGTTCGCCGGTGCCGCCGAGACCCCATCGGATCCATCCGAGCAGCCGGGACGATGCCGGTTCGCGTGTGGAACCGAACTCGGCCTGATGCTGCACAAGGCCGACCGGCACCTCGTCTATCCCGACGGAGGCATCGACGAGCTACGCCGCCGTGACCCGATGCTCGTCGCAGAGGAGCGTGAGAGGCAGCGCCGCAGCCGGGGCCGAGGAGGTCGAGCCGGGCCCTCCAGTGCTGGCACGGGCCGGCCAGGTGGCAGCACCAGAGGCGATCCAGGCAGCAGGAATGACGACAACGACGGCGACGTCGAGAACGACGACGACGACGACGAGGACGAAGACGAAGACGAAGAAGCGGCAGCCGCGAGGGCACAGGCGCAGGCAGGCGGCAAGGCGCTCGACGGCCCGCCCGACGCCACCATCGCCGGCCTCAATATCCAGCTCAACACGCCCGAGCTCATCGCCGAGTGGGTCAACCAGCGCAAGAAGCGATGGCCCACCCGGCAAAACGTTGAGCAGAAGCTCAAAGAGGCAGAGGAGCGCCGCAGACGCAGCGAGCAGATCTACGGCGAGAGGGGAGCGGGACGCAAGCGGATGCGAGGACCGGATCTCGACCGGCAAGCAGGCCTTGCTGCCGTGCCCTCCCAGCTCGACGACGGGCGAGATCCCAAGAAGACCAGGGTCGAGACCAGTCTCGGAGCCACCGAGACGACCTCGCCCGCAACAGCGCCAACATCACGGTCTCTCATCGGAATCGAGCGTGCGGATCGGGACGCGCCCGACATGGTCGACCAAGGGCGAGGCAACGGCGGCGAAGACAACGAGGACGACGGCGACGACGACGACGACTCGGGACCACCATCAGAAGCGGGTGTGCGGCCCGATGCCGGTGCAGGAGCCGCCTCGTCGTCGGACTCGAGCAGCAACTCGTCCAGCGACGGAGACAGTGACAGCGATGGCGACAGCGACAGCGACTCGGACGCCGCACCGCGGGAGATGTCATCCAAAGTGGCCGCCCCGTCGGTGCCAGAGGATGCAAGGCAAGACACGCGGCCCATCTGCAGGCATTGGCTTCAGGGACGCTGCTCGTACGGCGACCGATGCCGCAAACGGCACGAGCAGCCCGATGCTGCCTCTCGCGGCGGGGCAGGCGGCTCGACCAACGTAGGTGCACCCGCCACCGGCGCCGTCGCAGCCGCAGCCGCAGCCTCGGGCAAGCCGCAACGGCGCCCACAGCCGCGTGCACCGCCGCCCAACCCATTTGCCCAGCCCGACCTGCTGCACCAGCTGCTGCGCAACGAGATCGCCAAGCACGTCGACGCCGTCGCCCAGGCGATCCGGTTCGTCGTCGACAACGACATGCTCATCCACGTCGAGAGCCAAGAGGGCCTCGCCGACGAGCAGCGGCGCCGGCGTGGGCTCGTCGAGGTCATCGACACCAGCGCAGACGCCGCCGTCACTGCCGACGGAGGCGAAGAGCCGGCACGGAAAGAGGTAGAAGGCGGCGGGCAAGCTCTAGAGACGCCCAAGCTGGCGCAGCCGCTGCTCGAGGGCGGTCTGCCGGTGTTGGCGGCCACCAACGTCGAAGCGGCCAGCTCCGAAGAGGCGCCGTCGGGATCGACGCTGTACCGTCCCTCGTCTCCGCTGCTGCGTCCGCTGTCGGCGCTCAAGTATCCGCCGGAGCCGGATCCTCTGATCTTCCTCGACCCGCTTCGTCGAGACGATCCGAAGCCGCTGCTCCCCTCGCAGCTGGTCAGCATCGCCACGGATCCGGCAATCCGCAGCATCCTCACCCCGACCTCGCCGCTGTTCCCGGCGGGCGAGAAGCGAAAGGGGCTGGAGCGGGCGCTCATCTCGCTCGACGCGCTCCCCAGCGACGCCTACCGCAACGCGGCCATCGAGATGATCCTGGGCGTCAGCGACCAGACGCCGGCTTGGGCGCACGAGGCCTACTCGCGCACCGCTCCGCGCCACGGCGGGCTGAGCTCGAGCGTGAGCGTGGGCGGGAGAAAAGTGACCGAGTCGGACCTGTTTCGACTCGGGCTGAGGGTCGGCCATGAGGAGGTGGGCCAGCTCCGGGCCCTGGCCGACTGCATCAGCCGCATCGTCCAGGGTCCCGAGGCCGACGAAACGCTCGACGCCGACCTCGTCCACGGCATCGACGGACCCGAAATGGCGCTTCTCACCCCGCAGCAGAGGGACGAGGCCCGGAGACGGTACTGGCAAAAGGAGGGCGAGCGCGAGGACAGGCTGCGGAAGCTCGGCATCGACATCTAGCAACCCGCGTCCAGCCAGCTTCGCCGTCCCGTCGAGAGAGTTCACACTGCGGAAACAAGAATATCCTGCTCCACGATCCGGCAGCCAGGTGCGAGAGCGTCTGTGTGTGTGTGCGATTGCGTTTGTTTTGTGAGGAGAGAGAGGGGCGGAGGACGATGCAGAGGGAGGTGACCGCTCCGGCAGCGTCCGAGGGCGATGATCATAGTACATGCTTGTATGTGTGTGTGTGTGTGTAGGCGCGCTTGTGTGGAGACGTGCGAGGGAGGTGGGGTGCCAAGGCAGGACGATGGCGGACAGGATCGGCGAGGCGGTGCAGCAAGGCGCTGTACGCAGGGCGGAGTGAGGCGGCCGCTCGAGGCTCGCGACGGCAAGCCCCGTCTCCTCATGGGCCGTCATCCGCTCCGCGTTGTGCGCCCCCTACCCTCCTCGCCGGTCCCTTCAGGTGTCCGACATCGCTGCCCTGCGAGATCGCAGGGTCCGGTCAGGTCCTAGGACCGGTCCGGCTGTGCGCATTTAGCGCTGCTTGACGAAGCCGATGGCGTCGGCCTTCTCGCGGAAGCACTGACGGCAGATGTTGAGGCCGTACTTGCGGATAATTCCGCCCTGGTTGGCGCAGACGCGGCTGTAGGTGTGTCGGGGGGAAGATGGGGAAGGGTCGGATGTCAGCGGATCCTAGGACCAAAGAGATTGGACATACCGGACGGCAGGTCGGTCCTCCATCGCAGTGACCTCGATCGGGACCATCCCTCCGCCAGATACCGCCTCGACCACCGCATGCGCAGCCATCGTGCTGTCCGAGGTTTCCTCTTCATCTGAACCGGCGGCTGAGAAACGCGGTTGCCGGACGTCTCGACCCGCGCTTGGCAACAGCCAGAGCTCCGCCGTCCGTGCCGCCAGCACGACTCCTGTCCGGCCAGCCTGGGAGTGTCCGAGCCGTTCGCAGGATTGGCAGAGTGCAGTTGTTGCCGCTGCGTGCCCGGATTCGAGGTCGATGCCTCGAACGCTCCGGCGTGCTGCTGCCATATCAGTGCAGCGGGAATCCTCCGATCGCTCGTCCAGCACGACCCTCCGGCGCGGCTAAGGCAACATGTGTCGGCTGCTGTCGGGGCTGCTGTCGGGGGTGCTGCCTGAGCTCGCGCTGTATACGTCCTCCCTGCGTGCCTGACTCCTCGATTGATGCTGCCTGCAGCGCATCTCTGTGCTTCCCTCAGCCGCCCGGTGGCCGTCCAGATGCGATCCCTTCCGCGTTCGTCGGTGTTCGTGTGACGGATCCATGATACTAACCACGAGCGCGAGCCCTTTCCGTATCCCTTCTGCGAAATCGTCGAGCAAAGCATCAGAGAGACGATGGATTGAAGGGGTCAGCAGCCGTCCAATGGCAGTCTTTTGACCGGGCTCTCGAGAATCGATCGAGCATAAGTCGTCCAGGGGTTGTGGCGATGCAGATGGCTGGTCGGCGATGTCGACTTTGACTCCGATTTCGCCTGTGTGCTCCCGGATGGAGCACGGAGCAATGCGGGGGCCGCCCTACTCACAGGGTGGGAGCCCCAAACGTTGCTGTGAGCCATATTGTCGGATGAAAGATGTGTTGGTGTCTTGAGGGCGACGACGTGTAGGTTGGCGGTAGCAGCAGAGGGTCTGGGTGGGGATGGTGGCAGGCAGAGGCCGGATCTCGACCAGGCCCTTCTTCGAAGCCGCCCGCGCGCCGCCCGCCCCAGCCAGCCCAGCCAGCCCAACCAGCCAGCCGGCCCCATGGTCCTGCCGCGCGCCGCCTGCCTGCCT